CGTCACGTCACGCCCGTCACGCCACGCCACGCCTCGCTCGGCTGCCACCGGCCAGCCGCGGAGCTGCGCGCGCACCACACCGCCAGCCGCCCCGCCCCGATCTCCACGTGACGCTGCGAGGGCGGGGCTCCTCTACTCCCCGCCCCCTGACGTCAGCGCGCCCGGGCACGTGCTCGGCACATGGCTCCCTCCCTTTCTTTGTTGCTCTCCTCCTGCTTCCTCTCCCCCCCTTCCTCCCCCCCCCACCACCCGCCCCTCATTTGCCTTTGACGCAGCGCCTTATCACGTCATTTGAGACGTCCCAAAGCGCTTCACAGGATACAGTGCAATACTACGTTTGTATAGTGCCCTTCACGTCCCAAGGCACTGGACGGTCAGAGATCTGGACCCCAGTTGGGGGTTGGGCTGAGGAGGGTAGGAGGGTAGGAGGGTAGGAGGGTAGGAGGGCGGCCAAAGGCTCGGTCGAAGAGGAGGGTTTTGAGATGCGCCTTGAAGGAGGCAAGGGAGGGAGTGATGTGAAGGGAATGTGGGATGGAGTTCCATAGGGTGGCAGGAGAAAGGCTAAAAGCCTGACCACTGATACACTGTAAAGTGTAATGACTGTGTATTTTGTGGGCAAAACGCGGCAGCCAATTGCACACCAATTACAGTGTCCCACAAACAGGATTGAGAGACTTTTTTTTTGGGGGGGAAGGGATTATTACCTCCAGAAAGTAATCCGCCAATCAACTAACAACTGGATTCCTACTTACTGCTGGGTAAACAGAGGCGTGTGGAGTAAGGAAACTTGTCCAACATTTTGCCCTGCCCAGGAATCGAAACCAGGTCCTCTCTCTTGCGTAGCGAGCATGCTTACCACTACACTAGGGAATTCCCCACCTCCCTCAACCCTCCTCCCTCCCATCCCCCTGCCCTTCTCAGTGAGTGGTAGATTGAGGAGAAAGCAGATTGGAGAGGTTGGAAAGTGAAAGGGTGCAAAGGGATTTATAGAAGTCAATCCATTCTGTAATAGGGAGCCAGTGGAGCCTGACTAGGACTGGGGTGATGGAGTTTAGAGAGGGCACCGGAGACCCCAAGGGGTTCCAAGAAGACCCCTCTTACATCCACCAGGGAGGACAGTCACTAGTTGGTCATTTGAAATCTGACAACATGGGTTTGAGCCTCACTAGGTGGATGGCAGAGAACTCCCAACAAACTTCTTGGACAGCAATATAGCATCTTCCTGTCCGCAGCTTAGACACACGTCCCTTCCCTTGAGTGATGGTTTAGCGCTTCAGCAGCAGCTATTGCTTCTCCAAGTACATGGTTCTCCTCAGCTCCTGTTAACCCTGCAAGCCAATATCCTAACCAGTAAGTTGGTCCTAGCTGGACAAGCAGCAGAAAAACTTACCAAACCTGAATGGCAAGTTATGTGGTTTTAGCTAGTAAGACTACACAAATGCCCTTCTCGCTGGTCTCCCCTGCTCCATTATTCACAAAGTTCAACTGATTCAAAACTTCACTACCCACATTCTCACCCGGACTAAATTTTGTACCTCCATTACATCTGCTTCACCCACAAAATATACAGTCAATTCATTTTACAGTATATTCTGTGAAGTGCTTTGAAATGACTCAAAGACATGATAAATCATTATATCAAATGCAAGGATTATTATTACCCCAGTTCTTATCAACCTCCATTTGCTTCCTGTCATACAGTGGATCGATTTCAAGATACTCACGCTTTTGTTTTAAATCCCTTCAAACCCTGGCACCCACTCTACCTCTACAACCTGCTCTGTCTCTACATCACTACCCGCTATCTCCTCTGGACTGGATCTGGCCTGCTTGTCTCCCAGACCCTCTGTCCCACTATCGGCAGTGGTGGTTTCAGCCACTATATCCCAAATCAGTGTAACCCCCCCCATCCCCCAGAGGATCAAATTCAAGATCCTCATCCTCACCTACAAGGCTAATCACGGCCTTGCGCCCTCCTACCTCTCCGAACTACTATCTCCCACTTACCTGCCCATACCCTCCGTTCCTCTGGCTCCAGTCTGCTCCACATCCCCCGCCCCAACCGCCCTACCATCGGTGGCCGGGCCTTCAGCCTCTCAGCCCCGAGGCTCTGGAACTCCATACCCCAGTGCCTTCGCCACTTCCTCCCTTTCCTCCTTTAAGGCCGGTCTCAAGACCTTTCTCTTTGACCGTGCCTTCAGCTCCCCTCTCAACTCTCTACCCCCTCCTCGCTCCCTCCCTTCCCTCCCCTCCCCTCACCCTGACCATTTCCCCCCTGCTCGGCTCCTGACCCAACTGTCCAGCGCCTTGGGATGTCCTCCCGACATGAAAGGCACTCTCTAAATGGAATCTTGTTGTTGTTGTTGTTGTTGTAGAGTTGCAGAATCAGTTTGGACTCAAATTCCTGACATGAGTCTTGAACCCATAACATTCTGACCCAGAAATGAGAATGATTCCAATTGAGCGCATAGGCATCTAATAATAAACCTTGCATTTGATATAGCGCTTTATCACATTGTTGAGATGCCTCAAAGCGCTTCATAGAATATATTGTAAAGTGAATTGACTATAATTTGTGAGCGAAACGTAGCAACCAATTGCGCACAGCAGTGTCCCACAAACAGTTGTGGATTGAGTAATCAAGTTGTGTTCATCCACATGCCTCTGTTTACTTTGCAGGAAGTAGGAATCCTGTTGTTAGTTGATCGGCAGATTGCTTTCTGGGGGTAATAATTCCTCGAAAAATAATTTGAAGACGAATGTGAGGATCTTGAAATCGATCTCACACAAACACACACAGAGTCAGAGACAGAGACATACACGCACAGCGGCAGAGACACACAGACGAACAAACACAAAGTTTCTACTGTTTTCATGTGCTAAAAGGAGCTGGTACCAATATTCGGCTCTCTACTGTATCTGTTCAGCTGCCCTTCTTTGCATTCTTTGTGTGACTCTGGTGCAGTGAAACATTGAGAATTGTATAATTTGCTGCATTATTTACCTGCTCAGATTTAAAATTATTTATTTTTTTCTTCAGAAAAATCAGATTGTCAACAAGATAAACTCCCCTCTTCAACAAACAACAACAAAATTCCAATTATATAGCGCCTTTCATGTCGGGAGGACATCCCAAGGCGCTGGATAGACAGAGTTACGGACCTGAGCTGAGGGTCGGGGTGGGGGAGGGTGGAGGGCGGGGGGGGGGGAAGCAGGGAGATCGAAAGCACGGTCGAAGAGGAGGGTCTTGAGGTGGGTCTTGAAGGTGGCGAGGGAGGGGGCAAGTGTCGTAATATTGTTCAGGGTGTTCACCTAGTCCGTTATTTATTTTATTTTCCACATGCTTCAGTTGTTGGACAGTGCGCTGCAGAAAAAAAAATATTGGGGGTAACAGGACCTGTGAATACCAGTTCAGTCCAGGTCGGGTGATCGGACCGGTCACCCCGTGAGCTTATGTTGCCCATTGGGAGCATCTAGTGGCAGCTCAGGAAATCACAACCGCATCAAAATACAGTCACACTATTACAATAATAATAATCCTACCATTTGATAGAGCGCTTTATTACACCTTTGAAACGTCTGAAAGCGCTTCACAGAATATATTGTAAAGTGTAGTGACTGTGTGTTTTGTGGGCAAAACGGGCAGCCAATTGCGCACAGTAGTGTCCCACAAACAGTCGTAATAATAATAACAATCCTTGCATTTGATATAGCGCTTTTCAAGTCTTCTAGACATCTCAAAGCGCTTCACAGAATAAATACCCCCAACCCCCGAGAATACCCCAACCCCGACCCCGAGAATACCCCAACACCCCCCCCCGAGAATACCCCCAACCCCCGAGAATACCCCCAACCCCCGAGAATACCCCCAACCCCCGAGAATACCCCCAACCCCGAGAATACCCCCAACCCCCGAGAATACCCCCAACCCCGAGAATACCCCCAACCCCGAGAATACCCCACCTCCCCCGAGAATACCCCAACCCCCGAGAATACCCCACCTCCCCCGAGAATACCCCACCTCCCCCGAGAATACCCCAACCCTCCCCACCGAGAATACCCCCAATCCCCCCCCTCCCGAGAATACCCCCAACCTCCCCTCCTGAGGATACCCCCAACTCCCCGAGAATAACCCCAACACCCCCTCACGAGAATACCCCCAAAAACAACCCTCCCTGGGAATATCTCCCAAAACAACCCCCCCCGCAATTCCCCCCGGAGCGAACCCCGAAAATAACTTGCAAACCAGGGGATCCAAAATACCACAAAAAAAAGACCGACAAATAAACCCTGAAAATAACCCGTAGAATTACCCCCCAAAACACCCCCCCAAAAACCTGAAAAATAACCTCAGAACTGTTTCCCCCCCAAAAAAGTCCCCCCTAACTCCTCCTAGAACAACCCAAAAACACTCCCTAAATACCCCCTCAAAATAACCCCGAGAACAACCTAAAATGCCCCCAAATAACCCACAGGACAATCCCCCCCCAAACAAAACCCAGGACACCCCCTGTCAAATAACCTCTTCAAATAACCCTAGACTACCCTCCTCCGCCAAATACTCGCCCCCAAATATCCCCACAAATACTCTTCCATAAAACTCCCAAACCTCCCCCAAATCACCCCAATAACCAACAAAAAAAACCCTAATAAAACCTCAAAACTAACCCTTAAAACCACTCCAGAGATAACTCAAAACAAGCCAAAAAAAGGCACCCATAGCAGCCCCAGGAGCAGGCCCTTGAAGAACCATCTGCAATTAATAAACAACCCCCAAAGCAGTCCCAATAAATACGCTCCAAACAAGCCTAAAAACGGACTTACCAACCCCAATAACTACCCCTAAAACAGCCCAAATAACTACCCCTAAAACAGCCCAAATAACTACCCCTAAAACAGCCCAAATAACTACCCCTAAAACAGCCCAAATAACTACCCCTAAAACAGCCCAAATAACTACCCCTAAAACAGCCCAAATAATTACCCCTAAAACAGCCCAAATAACTACCCCTAAAACAGCCCAAATAACTACCCCTAAAACAACCCCAATAACTACCCCGAAAGCAACCCCAATAACTACCCCGAAAGCAATCTCAAAAACTACCCCTAAAGCAACCCCAATAACTATCCCTAAAACAACTCCAATAACTACCCCTAAAGCAACCCCAATAACTACCCCTAAAGCAACCCCAATAACTACCCCTAAAGCAACTCCAATAACTATCCCTAAAGCAACCCCAATAACTACCCCTAAAGCAACCCCAAAAACTACCGCTAAAGCAACCCCAATAACTACCCCTAAAGCAACTCCAATAACTATCCCTAAAGCAACCCCAATAACTACCCGTAAAGCAACCCCAAAAACTACCGCTAAAGCAACCCCAATAACTACCCCGAAAGCAACCCCAATAACTACCCCGAAAGCAATCTCAAAAACTACCCCTAAAGCAACCCCAAAAACTACCGTTAAAGCAACCCCAATAACTATCCCTAAAGCAACCCCAATAACTACCCGTAAAGCAACCCCAAAAACTACCGCTAAAGCAACCCCAATAACTACCCCTAAAGCAACCCCAATTATTACCCCTAAAGCAACCCCAAAAACTACCGTTAAAGCAACCCCAATAACGACCCCAAAACAAACCCCAGAAATAGGCAGAAAAACACTCCCCGGAATAAACCGAAAAACAGCCTCAATAACAGCCTTGAAGTTAAGCCCACGGCCAATCCTATTAAACATTCCCATAAAAACAATGAGAACTACCACCGTAACAATTCTGAAAACCATCCCCGAAGCCCTCCATGAAAAAGAATCAAAACTCCCCTCAATATTCAGGTCTAAAACCTCCCCAGGAATAAAAAGAAACTTGACTATTGACAAACTGTTGACAAAGCAACAGCTCACCAAAACAACCCCAATAACTTCCCAAAGAACAAACCTAAAAACGGACTCAGTATCGACCACTCCAAAAACAACCGCTTTAAAAATCACCCGAACAACCCCCCCAAAATTCATTCGAGAAACTAGTTCACTAACTTCCCCCAAAATCTCCCCACTACCCACCCAAAAATCACCCCTCAAACAATCCCCAAACCCAGTCACAAAGTTACCTCCAAAACAGCTCCAATAACCCCATCTCCCAAAACTACCCCAATAAGATTCCCCAGTCCCCAAACTCCAGTCCCCTTAACATCACACCCAAAAAGAGCCCATAAATTCTCAACATTAAATTTTCCGGCCTCAAACAAATTCCAACACCAGCTCACTAGCCCTAAGACCCCAGCCACAAATATTAATCCACAAGCCGTAGCCCGTCAACGTCGAGCCTCAAAATCGCAAAGCCCAACAAAAACTGCAACCCCCAACAAAGCAGAGTGGCAAAATAATTGAACCCATTACCCCCCCCAGTCCGACAATACCAAAACCCAAACAAAATCCAACATTTCCAATCCACCAAATTTCCAGTTCTGACCCCCCACCCAGGCCCGATAACGCTCTCTCCCATAAATTTGCCCCCCAATCTCTCGATTCTGAACTTCCCACAACTCAGCACCCCAGAAACCGACGCCGTGCTCGTTATGCTATTGCCCACACCCTGCCCCCAAATGTTAGTTTCCCCCTCCCCACTAAATGTCAGTACCTCTAATAATTGTCACCCCCCCCCACTGTAGCTCAGTGGTTAGAGCGCTTGCCTTGCAAGCGAGAAACCTGGGTTTGATTCCCCGCAGGTTGAAACATTAGGAAAATTTCCTTAATCCACACATCTCTGTCCACCTAACAGTAAGTAGGAACTCAGTTGTTAGTTGACTGGCGGATTGCTTTTCCTGGAGTAATAATTCCTTAAAAAAAAATTGATCATTCAATCCATGACTGTTCGTGGGAAACTGCTGTGCGTAATTGGCTGCCACATTTCGCCCACAAAATATAGACACTACACAGCATATTCTGTGAAGCGCTTTGAGACGTCTCGAAGATCTGATAAGGCGCTATATCAAATGTGACAATTATTGTTATAAACGATCCCCCCACAAAAAAAGTCAGCCCCTCCCAAATAAACATCAGCCCCCCGTAAGAATAGTCAGCCCCTACAAATAAACATCAACCCCCTTAATAAATGTCAGTCCCCCAAAATAAACATCAGCCCCCCCCTAATAAACATTACCTACCCAAATAATTATCACTCCCCCAAGTAAACATCAACCCCCCAATAAATATTTCATAAATAAACATCAGCCCCTTTTAATAAAAGTTATTCCCCCCAAATAAACATTACCCCCCCTTAATAAACATCGCCCCCGCTTAATAAACATCGCTCCCCCAAAATAAACTGCCCCCTTTAATAAATGTCAGCTCCCAAAATAAACGTCAGCCCCTCCAATAAACATCAGTCCCCCCCAACCCCCCAATAAAAAATGTATCACCCACAAAATATATACAGCATATTCTGTGAAGTGCCTTGAGACATCTTGAATAAGGGGCTGTATCATATGTAAGGATTATTATTATTAATTATCAACACCCAAATAAATGTCAGTCCCTCCCCACATAAGCGTCACTTCCCTCCCTCTTAAACCAATAAACACCAGCCCCTCTTCCCCAAAAGGCAGTTCCCCTGGAGCCAGCCACCTCTTCTCTTCCCCATCCTCGCTCAGACTCCTCGTGTCTTATCAAGGCTCCAACTGGCACACCCTATGTAGCTGTTGTTCACCGTGATGTGCTCAGACGCTTGTTCTTGGTGCCGGATTGTGTTGATTCCAGCCCTTTGTGAGGGCAGAGGAACAGGAGAACCCATTAAGATGATCGTACCAGTCTATCAGACAACAGCACATCTTTCAATCCCATTTCTCTCTTAATACACCCCTCACTTCCCGAGTATCCAACCTCTTAAACATTTCGATCGACTGTGCATGTACGGCCGGCCTTCCAAAAGTGCTGCAGTTGATTATAGGGTCTCTGGGCTTTAGTAGAGAGAGAGAGAGAGAAACGTTAGCTAACGTTTCCGCTACTGATAGACACTTCTCCCCCTCCCCTCATCCTCCGCCACTCCCTCCCAAGAAGGTGCCTGTCCGTGCGGATTTGGTGGGGTGCGGTACCAGAGCGTGTGGAACTGTACACCCCCCTTCCCCAGTGGGGAGAGCCAAAACTACGACGCCTGAAGGAGAGGAGAACAATTTGGAGATTATAGAACGTTTCGCAAGAGGTTTGAAGTGTAGGAATAGTGGAGTCGTTTCAAGAGTCAATTATTTTTATAGAAGTGATTCCAACCAAAAATTAAAATCCTACAGCATATTGGCTAGATTACTCGCTTTGCAAGCGAGAGGACCCGTGTTCGATTTCCAGGCAGAGCAAAACCTTAGGCGAGTTTCCTTACTCCACACACACGCCTCTGTTTACCTAGCAGTAAGTAAGAACCCGATTGTTATTGATGGTAGATCGCTTTCTGGGGGTAATAATAATTTTTTAAAAATTTGGTCACTCAATCCATGACTATCTGTGGGACACTGCTATGTGCAATTGGCTGCTCCATTTCGCCGACATAATAGTCAATTCACTTTACAGTATATTCCGGGAAGCGCTTTGAGATGTCTCGACGACGTAATAAGGCACTGTATAAAATACAAGGAGTATTATTATTGATACCAATTACATTATTATTATTTTTATTAATGTGGTCCTGCTCTGCATCAGAGCGACCTTGGTGAGAAGCGAAGCCCTTCCTGTTCGACCGTGCTTACAGTCACCTCCTCCCTCTTCGCGGCTTGGCTCAGGCTCTGACACTGACCCTTAGGAAGGCCGCTATATTATGCAAGTTGTTGCATCGGACTCCACGTGTGCATCATTTCCGTCCTCACCAGGCTCCATTGCCTCTCTGTCCCCTAGTCTTCAAGATCTTTGTACCTGATCTTCAATTCTATTCATGGTCTTTCACCCCCCTCCCCCTCCCCCCCAGATCCCTGCAGCCCATTCTTCGTCTCTCTTGGTGTGTCAGCCTAGCCCAGTAATGGCACTCTTCGCCTCCCAGTCAGGAGGTTGTGGGTTCAAGCCCCACATCGGGACTTGGAATCACACAGTCTAAGCTGATGCTCCAATACAGCGATGGGGGGGGTGGGGGGGTTTGCATTGTGGGAGGTGCCGTCCTCGGGAGGAGACGTTAAACCGAGGTCCCGTCTGCCTGTTCAGGTGGATGTTAAAGATCCCGCGGGGCTATTGGAAAAGAGAAACAAGATTTCATTCATAGAGCGCCTTTCACGTCGGGAGGACGTCCCAAGGCGCTGGACGGTTGGGTCAGGACCCGAGCATTGGGAGGAAATGGTCAGGGTGAGGGGAGGGAAGGGAGGGAGCGAGGAAGGGGGTAGAGAGTTGAGAGGGGAGCTGAAGGCCCGGTCAAAGAGAAAGGCCTTGAGACCGGCCTTGAAGGAGGAAAGGGAGGAAGCGGCGAAGGCACTGGGGGATGGAGTTCCAGAGCCTGGGGGCTGAGAGGCTGAAGGCCACCGATGGTAGGGCGGTTGGGGTGGGGGATGTGGAGCAGACCGGAGCCAGAGGAACGGAGGGTACGGGGAGGTAAGTAGGGGGATAGTAGGTCGGAGAGGTACTACCTCGTCACCCTCCTTTCCTTCCCTGTTTCTGGCACCTAAGCCATGATTGCAATCCCCTCTCTACCCCCCAAAGCTGTCTCCCATAGCCCGCAGGCTGATACTGCCCTCTGATCGCTCGCTGCCGGTCTCTGCATGCGCGTTTTGGTTGCCGCCCCAACAAGAGCCACTCCTTCTGAAAATGTGCCTGCTCCCACACTCCGCTACTCCCATTCTGTCCTTCTCTCCCACCACCCTCTCCGCCTTCTCTCTCTCTCCTGGATCCCGCCGTTACCTCCCTCTGCTCCAGCCTGTATATCCTCTGCCAGGCCCATCGTGGCTCCCGGCATTGGTTGCCCTAGAGCAGCCACCCCAACTGTCACATCATTCACTCTCTCCTCAACAACCGCCGCCAAAAGGCAAACACCCCCCGCATTCATACCCTCTCCAACTCTCCCCCCTCCTCAAACTCCATGGTCACTTCTCCCCCACGACTCCAAATCCTCCCTATACCACTCCCTTCTCCACTCTCCCTCCCCCACCAGCATATCCAGATTTCCTTCCAAAATGTCTGCTCTGTCTCCAAGTCTCCGTCTGCTCTGCTCCACTCCGTCGTGGAGTCCTGTAGCTCAGTGGTTAGAGCACTCGCTTTGCAAGTGAGAGACCTGAGTTCAATCCCCGGCAGGTCAGGGCGAAACCTTGGGCAAGTTTCCTTACTCCACACAGAGCCTAATAATAATCCCTCCAAAACCAAAAACAATAATAAATTGGTCATTTTCAATCTACGACTGTTTGTGGGACATTGCTGTGCGCAATTGGCTGCCGCGTTCGCCCACAAATATACAGTCAATTCACTTTACAGTATATTCTGTGAAGCACTTTGGGACGTCCTCCCGACGTGAAAAGCGCTATATCAAATGCAAGGATTATTATTATTATAATAAAGCCCTTACAAACCTTGACCTCATCCTAGATGAGCACATCAATATTCTTACAGAAACCCGGCTTACCCCGGTGACTCCATCCCCTCGTTGAAGCCTCCCCTCCTGGCTATACTTTTCTAGAAGACGTGAAAAGCGCTATATCAAATGCAAGGATTATTTTTATTATTATTACCGTCCCATCTCCAACCTACCCTTCCTTGCCAAAGTTCTGGAATGCATTGTTGCAGGTCAACTTCGGTCACACCTCTCCCTCCACTCCCTCCTCGAGCCCCTGCAGTCGGGTTTTCACTCTGACTGCCCACAGCATAGAGACAGCGGTTGTCAAAGTCACAAATGACGTCCTCGCTATCTGTGACCAGGGCTCCCTCTACCTTCTCGTCCTCCTGGATCTCTGTGCTGCGTTTGACACAGTCAACCATGCCATCCTCCTCCACCTCCTCCTCTCTCATCCACCTTAGTGGGACCACACTCAAATGATTCAACTTCCACTTAACTAACTGCCTCTACTCCATCCTTGGCTCCCTTCTCTTCCTCATGTACATGCTCCCTTTACAATGTCATCGCAGACACAGGGTAAACTTCCACATGTATCACATGACACACAAATCTACTTTGCCTACTCCAGTATCGACTCCAGGTCCACTGATGTTCTATCAGCTTGTCTGGCAAACATCAATGCCTGGATGAGTGCAAACTTCGTGCAGCTGAAAGTGGACAAGACGGAAGCCATACTCCTTGGATCCCGTCAACGTCTTCACTCCTGCGGATCTGAACTCCTCAACCTCCCTGGGCTCTCCCTCACACTCACTGAACCAGTGCGCAACCTTGGCGTCCGGTTCGACTCCCAGCTGCCCTTCCTCCCCCACATCCGGTCCCTGACCAGGACCGCCTTCCGCCACATTGCTCCGACCGTACCTTATCCTATATGCAGCGGAAACCCTCTTGCATGCATTTGTCATCTCTCGCCTGGAATACTCAAACGCACTCCTTGCCGGTCTCCCCAGGTCCACTATTCACAAGGTCAGCTCATTCAAAACTCTGCCATCTGTATACTTACCCAGACCAAACTCCGTACCCACATCTCACCAGTTCTGGCCCAGGCTCCACTGGCTCCCCATCACTGAATGGATCCACTTGCTTGTGTTCAACTCCCCTCACTCCTTGACAGCTCCCTACCTCTCCGACCTCCTCACTCCCCAATCTGCTCGACTCGCACAAGCCTCCAACTTGTCCCTTGCACTATCCGCCCCATCATTGGAGGTCGCATATTCAGCCAGTGCGCCCCGAAACTCTGGAACACTCTCCGTCAATCCCTCTGCTTTGTCCCCTCTCTCCCTAAGTCCCGCCTGAAAACCTTCCTTTTCGAACGTGCTTATGGTTACCTTCGGACTCCTCCCTCCGGCTCAGAGTCAGGCTCCGCCACTGTTAAGTGCCCCAAGATGCTACCCTGTGTGGAGCGTGCTATATAAGTGCAGGTTGTTGTTAAATAAAAAAATTTGTCTGTAGCTTTGGTCAAACAACCCAAAAGAAAATGCGGTTTTTTTTCCCCTTTGGATTTCCAGACCATTGTCCCTTCTTCTCACCCCCTCCTTCAAGGCCGGTCTCATGACCTTTCTCTTCGACTGCGCCTTTGGTCGTCACCCTGCTACCCCACCCTCCCTGCCCTTAACCCCTCCTGATCCCAACCCCCAGCTTGGGTCCAAATCCTTGACTGTCCAACGCCTGGGATGTCCTCCTGATGGAAGGTTTGACGTCAAGATCCTCACGCTTGTGTTCAAATCCCCTCACTCCCTGACACCTCCCTACCTCTCCAACCTCCTCACTCCCCAATCTGCTCGACTGGGATGTCCTGACAGAAGGTTCTGTGCAAATGTAATTTGTTGTTGGTGGTGTATAATTTTGGTGAATCTGCGCTGTACCACCTCAATATATCTTTCATGACTTCCTATGTTGAACATGTCTGTGATGATGTGATTATTATGAAGTGCCGCTAGTTGATATGGACGTTTCTCTCTACATTTTTCAGTTCTTTGGTTGAAGGCTGTGGACTCCGCAGTGGGCCATGGCTGTAATAGAGGGCGTGGACGATGAGGTCACAGTGGTCTTCGGGCTGCTGTTCCTGCTGTTGGTGGTGGTGCTGGCCTGGGTGTCAACACACACCACCGAGCGTGGGGAGCGGGTGGCCCCGCCAACGAGGGCGTCCGAGGAGCAGGATGGGGAGCGTGAGGAGGAAAGTGAGCATGAGGAGGAGACCGAGCAGATGATGAACGACGCCTCGAAGCACGAAACGCCCTCGGAGGAAGGGGAGTGTGAGGAACGAGGGGAGGTGAACCTGGACAATGACAAAATGCCTGAAGCGGACGAGCCCTCGCCAGGACCCTCCAACCTGCGCCAGAGGCCGTCCCGACCCAGCCCAGGGGAGGGCAGTGAGGAGCCTGAGCCCCCGGCCCAGCCTCACCCCGAGCTCACTGACTCTCCTCAGGACAACTATATATTGCTTAGGTTAAAGTTTTTAAATGACACTGAGAGAATAGCTCGCGTAAAAGCCGAGGACACAGTCGGACACATAAAAAGGTAAAGCCGAACGGTTGCATGATGGCCACACACTGAGTGTTCGGGGATTCGTGTCAATTCTTTTACCTCTGTTTCTCTCAGTCAGCACTGTATCCCCTTATTATGCCCTTCAGGTGAGATGTTGAACCGAGGTCCCCTCTGCCTGTTTAGGGGATATTAAAGATCCTGCGGCGCTATTGAAAAAGAGAAGGGAGTTTTATCTCTTCCAGTATCCTGGCCAACAATCCCCCCAAATAAAATTTGGTCACTCATTCCACGACTGTTTGTAGGATATGGCTGCCGCATTTTGCCCACAAAATGCAGTCAATACACTTGACAGAATATCCTGTGCGCGCTTTGAGACGTCTCAACGACGTGATAAGGTTCTACAACAACAATAAAATTACATTTGTAAACCACCTTTCATGTTGGGAGAACGTCCGACATCAAATGCAAGGAATATTATTGTTGTTATTACACATTCAGTGCTGTATCTCCTCAGTGTGTGGCACAGGCTACAGATATAGTGGGCACAGGAACTCCTCCTGTTCTGTTAATGTTTGGGGATTCCCCAGTTGAGTGACAGTCTGTTCCCAGCCATTCAACCAACCTGCCTCCTCGTGCTCCTGATTAACCCCCATCTCATCATGGCGTGAGTCAGGCCCACGGCTGTGCGTCTGTGGTACAGACAATTGAGATACTCATCTGAAGACGCTGAATAGGCAGCACTTAATTATAAGGAGCTTAAGTCATTATGGTTTCCTGTTCCACCTGTTGTTCTATCTACGATCCTAAAGGCTGTACATAACCTTAACCCAAATGATGGGTTTAACTCAGTCACAAGCTCAACAAGAGCAGGGGAACAGCACTTAAGATCAGGAGACGCTCGAAGACGTGATAAGGTGCTATATCAAACACAAGAATTATTATTATTATTGTGTTGATTTGTTCTCTCTCTTGTCCTAGGACCTATTTCCCTGACCAGGAGCATCAGGTGCGGCTGATCTACCAGGGCCAGCTGCTGGGAGACAACCATCAGACCCTGGCCTCTCTCCACATCCTCAATAACTGCGTCATTCACTGCCACATCTCGCCCACCGCCACCCTCTCAGCCCCGGCTGGCAGCCCGGGGCCAGAGCACACCGAGTCCATGCTCAACATCGGGAGACTGATGCTGCCTTTCTTCTTCCTGATGTTGGTGTTTCTCTGGTATTACCAGATCACCTACTGGCAGTTCTTCACCGCCCCCGCCACCATCTCTCTGGTGGGCATCACCATTCTCTTCAGCTTTGTGGTCTTTGGGACTCACCAGCGATGAGGCTTTCACCATCCCCCAGCCTCCACCAACCCCTCCACACCCACCTCTCCATCCCCAGCCTCCACCAACCCCTCCACACCCACCTCCCCATCCCCAGCCTCCACCAACCCCTCCAAGCACACCTTCCCACCCCAGGCCATCACCAGCCCCTCCAAACCCACCTCCCCATCCCCAGCCTCCACCAACCCCTCCAAGCACACCTTCCCACCCCAGGCCATCACCAGCCCCTCCAAACCCACCTCCCCATCCCCAGCCTCCACCAACCCCTCCACACCCACCTCCCCATCCCCAGCCTCCACCAACCCCTCCACACCCACCTCCCCATCCCCAGCCTCCACCAACCCCTCCACACCCACCTCCCCATCCCCAGCCTCCACCAACCCTTCCACACCCAGCTCCCCATCCCCAGCCTCCACCAAACCCTCCACACCCACCTCCCCATCCCCAGCCTCCACCAAACCCTCCACACCCACCCATATCCACCCCCTTACCAAACACTTACCCCAACCCATCCACCTCCCCACCCACCCCTTCGCCAACTTACCTACCTACGAGACAATACCCAATATGAGAATTTAGGACTGATGTAAAAATCAAGGCTTTTTATGGATTAAAAGCGATTAATATTGAAAGCCCCACAATTATCATAATATATATATTGCCATGTATGATTCCCCCTTTTCGACAAAGACGTGCTATAAAAGAGAGCGGCTTGTAATTTTATTAAACCAAGAGTTCCTTTGTGTTTTGTTGTACAGTACTAATAATAATAATTCTTGCATTTGGTATAGTGAAGTCTTGTATCTCAGTGGTTAGAGCACTTACCTCGAAAGCGAGAGGACCTGGGTTTGATTCCTGGCAGGGCGAAATTTTGGGCAAGTTTCCTTATTCCATACACCTCTGTTTACCTCGCGGTATGTAGGAACCTGATTGTTAGTTGATTGGCGGAATCGCTTTCCCGAGGGTAATAATTCCTTCAAAAAAATGAATTGAGATTGATAGATTTCTTGTGGATAAAGGGATATCGGGATAAGGCGGGTAGGTGGAGTTAGAATAGATCAACCATGATCTTATTGAATGGCGGGGCAGGCTCAAGGGGCCGAATGGCCTACTCCTACTTATGTTCTTATGAATTGGTCAGAATCCACGACTGTTTGTGGGACGCTGCTGTGCGCAATTGGTTGCTGCGTTTTGCCCACAAAATATACAGTTAATTCACTTTACAGTATATTCTGTGAAGCTCTTTGAGACATCTCGAAGACGTGATAAAGCACTACATCAAATGCAAGAATTATTATTATATTCCCTACATGGGTTTGAACTCGCAACTTTCTGACTCAAAGGCGGGTGTACTATCGACTGAACCAGGCTCACATTTGCTATAATCCTTGTAGTTTTGGTACATTGCCTATAAGTGTAGTGAATGATCTTTGTGGGCAAATGTGGCAGCCATTGGAATCAGGAATGGTGGAAGGGGTAGGAAAGTGGCGACAGGTTCAGTCAAAGAGGAGGGTCTTGAGATGTACCTCAATCTCGAATTCAAGATCCTCATCCTCACCTACAAGGCCATTCACGGCCTCGCTCCCTCCTACCTCTCCGACCTACTATCCCCCTACCTACCTGCCCGTACCCTCCGTTCCTCTGGCTCCGGTCTGCTCCACATCCCCCGCCCCAACCGCCCTACCATCGATGGCTGGGCCTTCAGCCCCTAGGCTCTGGAACTCTATCCCCCAGTGCCTTCGCCGCCTCCTCCCTTTCCTCCTTCAAGGCCGGTCTCAAGACCTTTCTCTTTGACCGTGCTTTCAGCTCCCCTCTCGACTCTCTACCCTCTCCTCGCTCCCTCCTTTCCCTCCCCTCACCCTGACCATTTCCCCCCTGCTCGGGTCCTGGCCCTACTGTACAGCCTTGGGACGTCCTCCAGACGTGAAAGGCGCTCTATAAATGGAATTTTGTTGTTGTTGTACCTTGAAGGAGGTAAGGGAGGGAGGGAGGTGAGTTCCAAAGGGTGGGAGCAAAGAGGCTGAAGACCCACCTGGATGGTTGACAAGGGGGTTAGCGGGTCACAGAGGTAGGAAGGAGCAAGGTCATGGAGGGCTTTGAAGGCAAGGTCGAGGATTTTGAACTCTTATCCTCTGGGGGATGGGGAGCCAGGTGAGGATTGGGGTGATGGGGCTATTGAACCTGGTGTGAGAGAGGACATGAGCTGCAGAGTTCTGGATGATCTGCAGCTTGTGGTAGGAAGAGTTGGGAAGGCCAACAAGCAGGGAGTTGGCATAATGAATCATTTCAGCGATTCTTCTGCATCGAGAGAACTACAATCCTTTTATCTGGAGAATTGTCGGCCAGGACACTGGAGGAAACTTTCCTTTTACAATAAAGTCGTGGGATCTTTAACATCAACCTGAAGAGGCACTATTGGACCTGGGACAATTGTTATGAGGTAAAACACAGGCAGAAGAATAATGTGCAATCTATATCCAGTCTAAAAGAATGCAGTCAGTTTCAACCTGAAGAGTTAAATATTAATATAATTTACATTTATACAGCCCTTTCTCCAGAAGATGTCTCAAAGTCTTTGACATTGCCAGCTGAGTACCTGAGCTAGGGGTGGGAGCCTGGGGGGATGGTGAGGGAAATGGTAATCAAACACAATATGTCTTGAGATGGGCCTTGAATAATCTTGCATTTCATATAGCGCCTTATATCTTCGAGACGTCTCAAAGTGCTTCATAGAATATAATGTAAAGTGGATTGACTGTATTTTATGGGCGAAACGTGGCAGCCAATTGGACACAGCAGAGATGAGTGAGGGTGGGAAGGAGTTCCAAAGAGCCTTATATTTGATAAAGTACCTCTCACATCAGGAGATCCCACACACAATTTGAAAAAAGGGAGTGATGGTTGAGGAAAAATCCATATTTCAAAAGCCAACTAGATAAAGGCAACAACAACAAACTACATTTACACAGTGCCTTTCATGTTGGGAGGATGTCCCACAGCGCTGGACAGTCAGGGATTTGGATCTGAGCAGGGGGTTGGGATCAGGAGGGGTGGAGGGCAGAGATGGGGGGTAGGTAGGCTGAGGGTAGGAAGGTGACCGAAGGCACGGTCGAAGAGGAAGGTCTTGAAATACCAAAAAAGGAGTAAACTGCAGAGGAATGGAGAAAGGACAGGTAAACGGGACTGAAAGGATGGTTCTCAAAAGAGCAGCATAGACACAATGGGCCAAATGACCTTCTCTGCTGTAAATTTCTATGGTTCACATCCTGGCATCTCCCTACAACAACAACTTTATATTTATATAACACCCTTCATGCAGGAGGGAACATAGTGTCTCAATAGCATATAAAAATAATTTGGTTACTCAATCCACAACTCTGTGAGATACTGCTGTGTGCAATTGGTTTTGGTGTTTCACCCACAAAATATTCAGTCAATCCGGTTTACAGTATATCCTGTGAAGTACTTTGAGACATCTTAATGACATGATAAGGCACTATACCAAATGCAAGGATTACTATTATTTTATTATTATCAGGTTTCACTCAGGGTTGTTTCAAACCTTCTCACACCCCACTCCTTTACCCGCCATCTTTGCTCAGTTGCCTCCTGCATGTCTTGTTCTCGCCACTTCACCATCAATAGTTGTGCTTTCAGTCACTACATCTCAAACCTCTTAAACTCTCTGCCTCAATCCCTCCATCTTGCCCGTCTTCATATCACACCAGAAGACCTCTCTCTTTGACTGTGCTTACGGTCACCCCTTTCTGGCTTGGAGTCAGGTTCTGTCACTGTTAAGTGTTTTGTTTCGTTTCGCCCACAAATATACAGTCAATTCACTTAACAGCATATTCTGTAAAGTGCTTTGAGACGTCTATAAGACTTGAAAACCCTATATCAAATGCAAGGATTATTATTATTGTTAAGTGCTCTGAGACTATGTCCGTTGAAGGGCACTGTGTAAGTGTAAGTTATTGTTGTTTTATGGTTGTAAATTTATTGTTATTTTTGTTGTAAGGGAGTTTCACTCGGTGCCCTGGCTCACAATCTCGCAGATAAAATTGACTGATGTATTCGCCTACAAAATACACCGTACAGAACACTCTAGAGTAAAACTGTGAAGCATTTTGAAATGTCTCGACAATGTGATCAGGCACTGTATGAATGCAAGGATTATTTATTTAGCGCACATGGCAGGTGTGGTATAATAATAATAATCCTTGCGTTTGATATAGACGTCTCAAAGCGCATCACAGAATATACTGTAAACTGAATAGACTGTGTATTTGTAGGTGAAACGCTGCAGCCAATTGCACACAGCAGTGTCCCACAGACAGTCATGGATTAAGTGACCAATTTATTATTGTTTTTTTTCTTGAGGGATTATTATTAGGTGTGTGGAGTAAGGAAATGTGCCCAAGGTTTTGCCCTGCTGGGAATCAAACCCAGGTCTCTCGCTTGCGAGGCGAGTGCTCTAACCGCTGAGCTACAGGACTCAATGTATCTCTGAGCATCTGCTCAAACAGGGCACAGACGGGGAGCTGAGGCTCACGACTTATCCGAAAAGGACAGTGTCCCCTCCCCATCACTGCACTGGAGCTTCAGTCTGGACTGTGAGCTCAGAGTGCTGTGGTGGGCAATTTTTTAATTAAACCTGCAACACTTGTATTTTTTTCTCTTTAATAAACTTTTCTTACACAGTTCCATAGGCGTTAATCCTAAATTGGCCACTCTGGTACCCACTGTAGGCAACGCATAATACTGGGCTGCTTTGGGGCTAGTATTTGGTTGACTCTGTGAAGTGCTTTGAGACGTCTCAAAGATGTGATAAGGTGTTATATCAAATGCAAGGATTATTACAATTTTTGGGGGGTCAGTTAGGTGTCTGACACACGTGTAAACCCGTCGCCATGTTTAAGAGACTCCAAACCAAGCTGAGGTTTCCATGCATCCCACCGACACTTGGACATCCCAGAGACAGACGTTGGAATGGAATGGCTTCCTGCATCCATAAGAATATTGGAATTTGTTGGTGAAAGAAGACCAAAGTCCATCCAGTTCGCCTTCCAACATCTTGGGAGTCGCATGACACGTCACGTCATGTACATTATATCCCGAGATATTATTTCTCAACAGAAATATACCTAATTTGTTCTTGAAAAAACATCAACACTTTCTGCTGCCGCCCTCCGTCTCCCTGGGGAGCCTTCAGCTCCCCTCTCGACTCTCTACCCCCTCCTCGCTCCCTCCCTTCCCTCCCCTCATCCTGACCATCTCCCCCCTCCTCACTCCCTCCCTTCCCTCCCCTCACCCTGACCATTTCCCCCCTCCTCGCTCCCTCCCTTCCCTCCCCTCACCCTGACCATTTCCCCCCTCCTCACTCCCTCCCTTCCCTCCCCTCCCCTGACCATTTCCCCCCTCCTCACTCCCTCCCTTCCCTCCCCTCACCCTGACCATCTCCCCCCAATGCTCGGGTCCTGACCCAACTGCACAGCGCCTTGGGACGTCCTCCTGACGTGAAAGGCGCTCAATAAATGGAATCTTGTTGTTGTTGTTGTTGTTTCCGCAGATCTGCTCTGAATCCTGTCTGTCTAATTCCGGGAAGTCAAGTCCCTTATTGAGCAATTATTACTTTTAAAAAACGATTTGTATCATTAATGATAATATTTATTTCTGTTAATTATAATAATAATAATAATAATAATAATGATTAAATTAGACTGCGAATATTTTGACGTCTGAGCGCCTCAGGTGAGGCTCGAACGCGGGACCCTGTGCTCCCGAGACGGACACACTACCCGGTGAGCCACGGGCCGAGGAAACCGGCAGCGGGCGCGGAGGAGACGGTTATGAGTGTGAGCGCGGCGGCGGCGGCTGGTGGGGAGGTGTCTGGCGGCGCTGGTGAGGGTGCGCGGCCCGGAGCTCGGGCTGAGGCTCTGTCAGGGCCGGAGCGGCGGCGGCGGCTTCGGGGTGATTCGGGTGCGGGAGAATGTGAGTGAGTGACCGGGGAGAGGAGCGGGAGCGCGGAGGCAACGGCGGGGCCGCTCCCGGGGCTCAGGCTGCGGCCCAGCGGGGAGACGGGTCAACGTGAGAGCCGCGGATGTGGAGACACAGGGCCTGAGAGAGGGGAGTGGGCCTCGGCCCAGGGCGGGCGGGGGGCCTGGGGTCAGGGTTTGGGGGGGGGGGGTTACGGGTAGTTGTGTGTGAGTGTGTGTGGGGTGGGGCGGGGGTTGGAGTGAAGGGCTTTGGTGTGTGTGGGGGGGGGTTGGTATGTTTGGGGGGGGGTATGTTTGGGGGAGTTTGGGGGGGGGGGTTGGTATGTTTGGGGTGGGGGGGGTTGGTATGTTTGGGTGGGGGGGTTGGTATGTTTGGGGTGGGGGGGGTTGGTATGTTTGGGTTGGGGGGGTTGGTCTGTTTGGGGTGGGGGGGGTTGGTCTGTTTGGGGTGGGGGGGGTTGGGTATGTTTGGGGGGAGTTTGGGGTGGGGGGGCTTGGTATGTTTGGGGTGGGGGGCGTTGGTATGTTTGGGGTGGGGGGGGTTGGTATGTTTGGGGTGGGGGGCGTTGGTATGTTTGGGGTGGGGGGGTTGGTATGTTTGGGGTGGGGGGGGTTGGTATGTTTGGGGTGGGGGGGTTGGTATGTTTGGGGGGTTGGGGGGGGTTGGTATGTTTGGGGGAGTTTGGGGTGGGGGGGCTTGGTATGTTTGGGGTGGGGGGGTTGGTATGTTTGGGGTGGGGGGGTTGGTATGTTTGGGGTGGGGGGGGGTTGGTATGTTTGGGGTGGGGGGGGTTGGTATGTTTGGGGTGGGGGGGGTTGGGTATGTTTGGGGGAGTTTGGGGTGGGGGGGGCTTGGTATGTTTGGGGTGGGGGGGGTTGGTATGTTTGGGGTGGGGGGGGTTGGTATGTTTGGGGTGGGGGGGGGGTTGGTATGTTTGGGGTGGGGGGGGTTGGTATGTTTGGGGTGGGGGGGGTTGGTATGTTTGGGGGAGTTTTGGGGTGGGGGGCTTGGTATGTTTGGGGTGGGGGGTTGGTATGTTTGGGTGGGGGGGGTTGGTATGTTGGGGGAGTTTGGGGTGGGGGGTTGGTATGTTGGGGGAGTTTGGGGTGGGGGGGGGGGGGCTGCAAACCCAATGGGACATTACCTATACGCTACCCCTATACAAATGCAAGTTGTGTTTGAGAAGGGGGGCGTTGAGATGAAGGAGGTGGAGGAATGGAATGGAATGGCTCTATAAATGGAATCTTGTTGTTGTTGTTGTTGTTGAATGAGAGTTGCAGGTTGGGGATTGATTGATTGATTGGGGGTCTGGGTGCGGGCGGGTGGGGGGGTGGTTGGCAGTGTTTGGAGGAGTTGGGTGTGGAGTGGGGGGGAGTTGTGTGTTATTGGGGGGTTGTGTGTGAGGGTGAGAGGGTTGGCTTTGGGATGTCCTCCTGATGTGAAAGGCGCCATACGAATGTAATCTTGTTGTTGGCCCTCGGGATGGGGGTTTGGGTGCAGGTTGGGGGCGGTTGGGTGGGGAGGGTTGGTTCGGTTCGTATGGGTGAGGGGGTCCTTGCATTGAGACATCTCAAAGCGCTTCGCAGTCAGGCGTAAAGTGGAGTGACTGTGTATTTTATGAGCTAAAGAAAGTGGGGTGGGGTGGGGGGTCAAGATGATTTGAGCCAGTTTGGGGGTGGGGGTTGCTGTGATTGCCCCCTGTGTTTATGTGCTTGTCCGCTGTTCCCTAGGGTGCTGCGGCCTGCTGGAGGCAGGGTGGGCTTGCCGTCTTTAAAATGCAAAGCTCCCATTCCCAGCTGTTCAGAGCTCTCCCCAGCCGGAGCGAGCGAGCTGTGATTTTGGACAGGTTGTCTGGCCTGGGCACAAGCGCTTTCCTCCCTCTGCTCGTCCTCCTGAGCGGGAATCGCGGGCTGGAGCCCCCCTGCCCCCCGACGAGCCAGAGGATGATGTACACCACACGGTATCACGCGTGTAAGCCCGGGGGCCGGGGCGGGTGCTACACGGACCGCCTCGCCCGCCCCCACCAGGCGAAGCACAGTGGCCGCAAGCCCCACCACGCCAAGAAGAAAACGTGGAACTTCATCCACGAGAAAGTGAGCTACGATACCTTCTTCACCATGAAGAGGCTGATTGACCGCTCCAGGACAGTGGACGAGGTGCTGAGGTGGGTGACTCAGAACCCGGGCAAGGTCTCCTTCAATCACTACCCCATTGCCCTGCAGAAGATCGGGCAGGTAGTGCAGCAGCAGTCCCCCAGCGCTGGCACAGGAGACAGTCACTACACTCGGGTGTCAGAGCATGAGGACTTCCAGACCCTGTGCGACTCCATCATCAACGACTGCTCCAAGTTCGATAACTTCAGCATTGTGAACTGCCTCTATGCAGTGGCTGCTCTGGGTAAGTGGCCAAACCCTCGTCCACACCTTTGTCACTTCCCGGCTGGACTATGCCCTCCTCGCTGGTCTTCCAGCTCCACCATACACAAGATCCAATTAATTAAAAACTCCACCGCCGGATACTCACCCGCACGAAACTCCGTACCCCCATCACCCCAGTCCTGGCCAGGCTCCACTGGCTCCCAATCACGGATCGATTTCAAGATCCTCTCACTTGTTTTCAAATCCTGTCACCTCCCTACCTTTCCGATCTGCTTACCCCCCTCGCCACCACTGACTCCGCCATTGTCAAGCGCTGCCCTGCATGAGCGGCGCTACATAAATGCAAGTTGTTGTTGTAGCTCAGGGGAAAATATGCTGAGAAATTGTTCATGTAGAATTCAAGTTGTTGTTTGGAGAGGTTTGGACTCTGTGTTGGAGCAGAGGAGGTTCGAGGGGGTGATGTCGAATCCTGTTCGCTTCCTGGCAGGGCAAAATCTTAGGCAAGTTTCCTTAATCCACACGCCTGCTTACCATCAGTATTCAGGAACCTGGTTGTTCGTAGTTACTCCCAAAAATTTTTCAAAATTGGGTTACTCACTCCGCGACTGGAGCTATTGGCTGCAGCGTTTCACCCACAAAATACAGAGTCAATTCACTTTACAATATATTCTATGAAGTACTTTGAGACGTCTCAACGATGCTATAGGTGCTATATCAAATAAATGCAAGGATTATTTTATTATAATGAAAGTGTTTAAGATAATGAAAAGTTTCAAGAGGTTAAATGGTGATGAATTGTTTCATTTTGGCCGGGTGTCTGACACATGAACAAACTCCATCACCATACTTCATTGGAGTACCGTGGTGTAGTGGTTACAACGCTCGCCTCTCAAGTGAGAGGACCTGGGTTTGATTCCCAGGCACGGTGAAACCTTAAGCAAATTTCCTTACTCCACACGTCTCTGTTTACCTAGCAGTAAGTAGGGACCCGTTTGTTAGTCGATTGGCGGATTGCTTTTTCGGGGTTAACAATAATCCTTTACAATATGTCCTTATCAATGATGTGATAAGGTGCTGTATCAAATGCAAGGATTATTATTATTACAAATTACAAATAAGTAATCAGGCTTCCCCTGTCCACCTGGCAGGTCTTCCCAGTGAACTGAAGATCGTCCAGGTGCTGGAGGAGGAATCCAGAATCCGTCTTTCCCAGTTTAACCAGAAGGACATCTCCATGGTGTTCAGCAGTGCCATGAAGCTCCACCCGTCCACACAGCACCCGCTGGTGGAGTCCTGCCTGACCGGCCTGGAGAAGAACATCGAGAAGGAGCGGCACCCTCAGACCCTCTTCCTGCTGCTCTCCTACTACAAGCTGAGGTCTCAGGCCCTGTCCCAGGACACCCCGGCCTCCGAGAAGCTTGTGACCGGCCGTAAGGTGCTGCGGCTGGTCAAGCACACCCTCGGCCATGTGGGCAACGTGAGGGACCACGAGATGTCGCTGCTGGACGAGATGTTGGCCGCTTGCGTCCGTGAGGCCAGCAACAAGTCGTTGGAGATCATCTTCAGCTCCCAGCTCTTCTACGAGAACCGACAAGAGAAGTTCATCGTCAGATTGGCAGGTATGTACAGCTCCCGTCAACATCTCGGTGCTTAGTGCACTCGCCTCACAAGCAAGAGGACCTGGGTTTGATTCCCGGGCAAGGTGAAATGTTGAGCAAGTTTCTTTACTCCAAACATCTCTGTTTACCTAGCAGTAAGTAGGAACCTGATCTCTCCCCCTGGCTCGGAGTCAGGCTCTGCCACTGCTAAGCGCTCTGAGATACTTCCCTGAGTGGAGGGCGCTATATAAGAACATAAGAAATAGGAGCAGGAGTAGGCCATTCGGCCCCTCGCGGCTGCCTGGCCATTTAATAAGATCACGGCTGATCTTCTAACCTAAGATCAACTTGCACCTATATAAGCGCAAGTTGTTGTTGTTAGTTGATTGGCAGATTGCTTTTCTGAGAATAATAATCCCTTCAAAATAATAATAATGTGGTCACTCAATATACACACAAAATATATGCAGTCAATTCACTTTACAGTATATTCTGTTAAACACTTTGAGATATCTAGAAGACATGATAACACACTATATCAACTGCAAGAATTATTATTATCTTCACTTCTGCGGCTTTGACCTCCTCAACCTCCCTGGCCCACATACTCACCCGCACTAAACTCCGAACCCCCATCATTCCAGCCCTTGGTGATACAGAGCCAGGCTCCATTTGCTCCCTACCACCGAATATTTTTATAGTCAGCCAGGTGGACTGACACACTCGGAAACCCATCATCATGCTTAAGAGTATCCAAACCCAACTGAAATTTCCATACATCCCACCTATATCTGTAAATCCCCGAGATAGATTGGAATGGAATGCGCACTCTCTCCCTGGAGGGACACATCCTGCTTATCTGATTCCAGAGAGTATTAGTTGCAGCTTATATAATAATATTCCTTGCATTTGATATAGACCTTATCACATCTTCGAGACGTCTCAAAGCATTTCACAGAATATACTGTAAAGTGAATTGACTGTATATATTTTGTGGCTGAAACCCGGCAGCCAATTGTGCACAGTAGCATCTCACAAACAGTCGTGGATTGAGTGATCAAATTATTATTATTTATTTGAAGGGATTATTACCCCCAGAAAAGGGATTATTACCCCCGGTTGGCAAGAGCCAAGGCTTGGCCCCGGAATGTGTGTTGGTGTAACTGCTGGAGTCTAACCAGCTGAAACCACATAGTTTGCCATTCATAGAATTATAGAATTATACAGCACAGAAGGAGACCATTTGGCCCTCCGTGTCTCTTTGAAAAGAGTCATTCAAATCAACCCCACTTCCCCCGCTCTCTCCCCATAGCTCTGCAAACTTGTTCTCCCCAAATAATTATCCACTTCTCTCTTAAAAGTTGTTATCAAAACGGCTTCCACTGGCCTTTCAGGCAATGCATTCCAGATCCCAGCAACTCATTTCTCCTCCCCTCCCCTCTGTTTCTTTTAACAACTATTTTAAATGGGTGTCCTCGGGTTACCGACCCACCGCCAGTGGGAATAGTTTCTCCTTGTTCACCCTATCGAATCCCCTCATAATTTTGAAAACTTCCATTAAGTCTAATTGATGTCGCTGTCTGGCAAGCTTTCCCACTGTTTATCCGGTTAGGTCCACCCAATCCTTTAAGGGTTCGGCTTGTAGGGTTAACAGGAGCTGAGTAGGAGGATTGAGGATTGAACTTTTTTTTATTGGCTGACCCAAAAGTTTGGCTACTACAGTTTGCAGTTAACAGCTGCTGAGTGGGAAGAATCCCTCCTCCCAGTGACTGTTCTGCCCTTCCAAGTCCTGTTGATAAACCAAGCTGATCTGTTATTACTTCGCTGGAGTCCTGGAACTGGACAGGAGGCTGTTATAGAGGGTGGACTCGCAATATTCCATTGCCAGACATGTCAACTTGGAGTGAACTAATTCCCAAAGAAGCCCTCCTCACTCGATTCCCAGCAGGGCAAAACCTTAGGCAAGTTTCCTTACTCCACACACCTCTTATTGCCTAGCAGTAAGTAAGTAGGGAGTCCTGTAGCTCAGTGGTTAGAGCACTCGCTTTGCAAGCGAGAGACCTGGGTTCAGTTCCAGGCAGAGGGTGAAACCTTGGGCAAGTTTCCTTACTCCACAGAGAGCCTAATAATAATCCCTCCAAAACCAAAAACAATAATAATTTAGTCATTTTCAATTGGCTGCCACGTTCGCCCACAAATATACAGTCAATTCACTTTACAGTGTGTTCTGTGAAGCGCTTTGGGACGTCCTCCCGACGTGAAAAGCGCTATATCAAATGCAAGGATTATTATTATTATTATTATAATATCAAATACAAGGATTACTATATTATTATATAATAATCCTTGCATTCGGTTTAGCTCCTTATCACGTCATTGAGACCTCTCAAAGCGCTTCACAGAACATACTATAAAGTGGAAAGTGTTCCACCAATCGACTACCAACCGGGTTCCTACTTACTGCTGGTAAACAGATGCTTGCCTAAGGAAACATGCCTAAGATTTCACCCTGTCCATGAATTGAACCCAGGTCCTCTCGCTTGCGAGGCGAGTGCTCTAACCTCTGAGCTACAGGACACTTATTTCCTATGAAGCGCTTTGAGCCATCTCAAGAATGGATTATTATTATTATAATTACCTGAGAAGCATTTTGAGAACCCTGCAATGTTGTAGGCGCTATATCAGATGCAGGGATAACTGCATGGAGCTGGGGGTGTCTTGGTGTCTGGGGTGAATGACTGTGGTGTTTGACTACAGAAGAGCTTCCCAAGAAGGTGGACAATGTGAGCCCGTATACCATGGCCCTGATAGCAAAGTACATCGCCCGCCATCGCCTGAGGGAGACCAGGTTACTGGACACCATCGCAGAGTTCCTGGTCAAAAAGGGAGAATATCTGGACAGTAAGGTACAGCAGAAAACAACAACAATTCACATTTACACAGAGCCCTTCATGCAGGGAGGTGTCTCAGAGCGCTTAACAATAGTGGAGCCCGACGCCCAGCTAGGGAGAGGAGGTGACTGTAGGCACGTAAACAGACCAGACAGAGTCCAAAGCTCTGTCATTAGATAACCCGATTGTAGAGTACAATGGGTCTGCAGCTGGGGAGGGGGCTACAGATTTCATCTGTGCAGTTATATAGAGCTCTCGAGACTACAGCCCAGGAGGGTGGTGTCTGTGCTGGGGCTCGCTCCCCCAACTGGAGCTCTCTACTCTAATCCCATTCCTGCTCTCTCCCTGTAATTTTCACTTTTTCAGTTCCCTTTCAAGTATTGTTACCATCTCAACAGCTGCATGTGACAGTGACCTAATAACCCTCTGAATGATACAGTCATTCATCTGAGGCCTGTTATTCAGGTGGATATTAAAAGACCATGTAACGTCATGAAGGGCATTTCTCCTGGTGTCCTGACCGACATTCCTCCAGATTAATCGGGATCTGTCAGATTCATCCTTTGTGCAAAATGACTGCAGTGTTTGCCAACCGAAATAGTCAACAACAGCAACAAATTACATTTACACAGCGCCTTTCATGTCGGGAGGACATCCGAAAGCACTGGACAACAAGGGACAACACTGGACAACAAGGCAACAAGCACCTAAGCTGTGGGTTGGGATCAGGAGGGGTGGAGGGCAGGGAGGGTGATGGAGAGAAGATGACTGAAAAGGAAGGTCTTGAGACGGGCCTTGAAGGAGTTGAGGGAGGGAGTGAGGTGGAGGGGCTTCGGCATGGAGTTCAGAGGGTGGAGAGGCTGAAGGCTCGACTGTTGATGGTGGAGCTGGCAAGGCAGGGGATGTGGAGCAGGCCAGTACCCTCCAAGCAGAGGGAGCGGACAGGTTAGTGAAATTCTAATAGGTTGTAGAGATAGAGAGGACCAAGACTCCAGTTGACGATGTTACCGTGAAACTTTTTGAGACGACTCTCTGTTTGAGACACTAATCGTTGACGTGACGTGTTTCTCTCTGCAGGTGATTCAGAAGCTGGTCTTTCCTTTCAGCCGCATGAATTACAAGCCTTCCAACCAAGCCAAGTTCTTTGACAAGCTGGAGTCAGTGCTGGAGGTCAAGGTCCTGAACTCGCCCCTCGCCACGGTCAACATTGTCATGTCTATGTTCCAGCTCGGACACTTCCCGGGAGCAGTGCTCCATCGCGTCTTCTCCGCACCCTTCATCAACAACGTCATGAGTACGTTTTTCCCACAAAACTGTTTATTATAGGCTGGAACGTCCTGCATGTCCCTCTGCCCTCCGCTCCACCATTGGTGGCTCTATCCTAGAGCACTGAGCTGGTCACCGTAGTCAGCACTATAAGACTGTATTAGTATTTAGCATGCATCGAATCCTATAGCGTAGTAGTTAGAGAACTTGCCTTGCAAGTAAAAGGACCTGGGTTCAATTCCCAGGTGGGGCAAGATCCTTACTCCACATGCCTCTCTTTACCTAGCAGTAAACAGGAATCCAGTTGTTAGTCGATTGGCAGATTGCTTTCCACATTCCTTAAACAAAAAAATGTGGTCACACAATCCACACTGTTTATGGGATGCTGCTGTGCACAATTGGCTGCTGCATTTTGCTCACAAAATACAGTCAATCCACTTCACAGTCTATTCTATGAAGCGCTTTGAGACGTCTTGAACACTATATTAAATGCAAGGATTATTAGAATGACAGGTGATGCTGGGAGCAGTGGACAGACACAATACTTTCTGTGCTGTAAATGGTTTAGTTTCAGTCCTTCGTGCTCTCTCTTTCCCCCCAGACAGCCCCTATGCGCTGATCGTGCGCCGGTATCTCTCGCTGCTGGACGCTGCCATCCAGCTGGAATTCCACGATTACAAAGGCCCTCGTCTGGAGGACAGGTACAAGGTCATGATGTTCGACCACGTGCTGACAGCTGACGAGGTCAACAGGAAGTACAGGTCAGTGATCACCACCATCGAACCTGGGAAGGGAGACTTCAGCGGTGGGTATATTATAGGAGTGTGCAGTCCCATATGGTAGTGGTTAGAGCATTCGCCTCACAAGCGAGAGAACCTGGGTTCGATTCCCGGGCAGGCAAAAGCTTAGGAATGCTTTCGTACTCCACCAGTCTCTGTTTATTCATTGCTTTTTTGGCCAGCTGGGTGTCTGATACATGTGGAAACCCATCACTGTGCTTAACAGTGTCCAAACCACACTGAGAATTTCATGCATCCCACCTACACATGGAAATCCCAGAGATAGATTGCTGGATTGTAATGCTCTCTCTCTCACTCTCTCTCTCTCTCCCTGGAGGGACACATCCTGTTTACCTAATTCCAGAAAGTATTAGGCACAGGTTAGCAAGAGCCAAGGCTTGGGGGGAGCCCAGAGTGTGTGTTGGGGTAACTGCTGGAGTCTGACCAGCTAAAACCACATAGTTTGCCGTTGATATCACTGTCTGGCCAGCTTTCCCGGTGCTGGACCACCCTCCCCGTTGAAGCTTTGATTGCAGGGTTAACAGGACCTAACTGGGAGGATTCCCTGCCCCCAGTGACTGGTCTGCCCTTTGAGGTGCTGTCGTCAGCAGTGTCCTGCAATCCTGCGGACCCGCTTGGCTCAGGAACCGGACTAGAGACTGTCACAGAGGGCTGGCTCGATTCCGACATTTGATTGCCAGGCATGTCACCTTGGAGCCAAATCAACTCCAGGGAGACCCCGCTTACACTCCTCTGTCTACCTAGCAGTAAGTAGGAACCTGGTTGTTAGTCGATTGGCGGATCGCTTTTCCCGGAGTAATAATCCCTTCAAAATAATAATAATTTGGCCACTGAATCCACGACTGTTTGTGGGACGCTGCTGTGCGCAATTGGCTGCCACGTTTCACCCACAAAATATACAGTCAATTCATTTTACAATATATTCTGTAAAGTGCTTTGAGACTTCTCAAGAACGTGATAAAGCACTCTTATCTAATGCAAGGATTATTATTAGATGCTGACGCGCTTAATTGGTATCATTCTCATCTCTGGGTCAGAAAGTTCGACCTCCAGAAAGTTGCCCAGCTAGGACCACCCTCCCCGTTAGGGCTTTGGCTGCAGGGTTTACAGGAGCTGACAGGGAGGACCCGGTACTGGGCCAGCACTGCATTACTCCACCTCCACCACATTGCCTGCCTGCGTCCATACAACAACAACAACAAATTACAATTGTATAGCACCTTTCATGTCGGAAAGAAACCCCAGTGCACTGGACAATCGGGTATTGAACCAAGCTGGGAGTTGGGGTCAGAAGGAGAGGAGGGTAGGAGGGCAGGGGAGTAGGGATGGGAGGGTGGCCGAAGGCACGGTCAAAGAGGAAGGTCTTCAGACGGGCTTCAAGGAGGAAAGAGAGGGTGTGAGGCAGAGCTATTGTGGGATAGAGTTCCAGAGTGTGGGTGCAGAGATGTTGAATGCTCGACTGGCAATGATGGGGCAAAATTCAACTGATTCAAAACTCCGCCGCCCACATTCTTACCTGTACCAAACTCTGTACTTCCATGCCCTCCATTTTACCCACAAGATATACAGTCAATTAATTTTACAGGATATTCTGTGAAGCACTTTGAGATGTCTCAAATACGTGATAAGGTAAGAATTATTATTATTGTGGGAACACAGAAACAAGAGGAGGCCATTTGAGCCTGTTCTGCCACTCTGTTAGATCATGGTTGATCTATAGCTCAACTCCATTTTCCCACCTTTGCCCCATATCCCTTGATACTCCTGTTCCTTTGTTCCTATGTTCCTCGTGCTGGGTCCAGTTTCAGGGATTTTTGCTCAGGGTTGTGCCTGGAATGGAACTGGCACAACCCTGAACACTCAGCTCCTGAAAACCCTGCAAACCCAAGCCCTAGTAGTTAGGGACAAGCAGCGAGAATAGCAAGCTTTAGCTCCAGCAATTACCTCCAACACACTCTCTGGAGTCCCCAAACCTCGTGCTTGCCATCTTGTGCCTCAGTTTCCTGGAACACTGCAAAATGTGTGAATGGCGCTATATAAATGCAAGTTGTTATTGTTGTTATCGTTGGAGTTAGCCGAGCGGAGTGCGTCTCTCTGGCACTCCATCCCAGACAAACACTTCTCCATGTATATGTCCTGGAAACTCAGTCTGGTTTGGATACTCTTAAGCATGGTGAGGGCCCGGGTTTCTGTGTGTATCTGACACCCAGATGATCACGGTGACAGGTTTCCATGTGTGTCAGTCACCGGCTGATCACGGTGACGGGTTTCTGTGTGTGTCAGTCACCGGCTGTTCATGGTGACGGGTTTCCGTGTGTGTCAGTCACCGGCTGATCATGGTGACGGGTTTCCGTGTGTGTCAGTCACCGGCTGGTCACGGTGACGGGTTTCCGTGTGTGTCAGTCACTGGCTGATCACAGTAGTGAGATTACGTTTATCAGACATCTGCTGACCAACAAACTTTGTATGTTATCTTGTGTTTTGGTTTCAGTTACAAAGGGTTGGTCGCTGAGGCATTGAGACAGCTGATTGGAGACCAGTGTTACAAGCAGGATGAAGTTGTGGCCCCGGGCTATTACACAGGTAATAATACTCCCATCCACTGTAAAGTGACCTGGTCAAGAGTCCTCCAGATAGGCACAGTGATGAGATGAATTTGTGAGCTGTCAGAGACCTTGCTGTACGCAAATTAGCAGCAAAAATCACTCATTACACTTGATTGTGGTGACAGTGAAGCACTTTGAGAAGTCCGTCTGGAGCTCTGTCCTGGAGAACCTCTGCCTCGCCCCCTCCCTTACTTCCTTCAAGGCCCGTCTCAAGACCTTCCTCTTTGGTCACTCTCCCACCCTCATCCTCCTTGACTTCCAACCTTCTCTGATTCCAATCCCCAAGGTTGGGTACAAATCCTTGACTGTTCAGCGCCTTGGGAAGTCCTCCCTCCGTGAAAGGCGCTGTGTAAAACCAATTTGTTGTTGATAAAATTACTGTAAAAAAAAAGTTATTTCTTTAGGGCAAGTTTGAGCAAATTCCATATGACGGCTCCTGGCTGGGATGGGCAGCAGCTTAGCTCTCGTAATGCCCACACGTGTTAGAATTGTGTTGTCAGCACACAAATTTGTGAGGCACCCTCTTGGTTGAGTGAATCCATAGCCCCATCACCCCAGTACTCGCCCAGGTGCCACTGCTCCCTATCAAGATCCTCATACTTGTCTTCAAAGCCCTTCATATCCTAGCACCTCCCTACCTCTCCGACCTGCTTAGCCCCCCAAACCCACTACTCGCTGCCTCCTGTTTGCCCCCTGTCCCCTCCGCTCCACCATCAGCAGCTGTACCTTCAGTCACTATGTTCCAAAACTCAGAAACTATCTTCCTCAATCCCTCCACCTTGCCCCCTCCATCCTCTCTTTTAGATCACGTCTGAAGAACTTCCTCTTTGATCATGCTTACGCTCACCTGCTCCCTCCCTCCCCCTGGCTCGGCATCAGTCTCCACCACTGTTGAGCGCTGTGTGTGTAAATGCAAATTATTCTTGACACAAGGACTCTTTTGATCTCCTCTGCAGATTTTTTACTCTGGTTAAATGGCTCCGGCAGCGTCCTTCACATTGCCGAGACCACCACCACCGCCGACACCCCTCTGTGCCCTCCGGCCTCCGACACCAAGCCATCCGAGGGTCCTGGAGCCCTGCCCAGCTCTGCTGATCTCCACTCCCTAACCACCGACTTCCAGAAGTTTTCTCCGTTCAGCCACGTGGAGGGGAAGCCCGCGGGAAAGGAGAAGCGAGCGGGAGAGCTAGCGGCCGAGGTGGATTTCCTGACGTGTATCGGGCCGCTGGCCGGCACTGTCCGTTCGCCCATCGAGTACTCGCCCTACTACCCACCCTCGGACTACTACAGCAGCTTGACCAAAGAGCAGTCACTGGAGAGCCAGGAGAGCTCCACCCTCAGCAGCCCCTCTGACTGCCTGAACCAACCGACCAGCGCCCCTGACTGCTCTCCCGTCATCAGCTCCACCTCCCTCTTCCAGTTCCCCATCGGCAAGATTCTGGACGAGGACGGGGAGGAGGTGTCTGCGGCTCAGGGCCAGGAGCGAGCAGCAATGTTCAGAGCTGAGCAAACCGGCCACGATTTCTACGACACCGCTCGTTACCCCGAGAGGCAGGGTGGGCCGGGGTCAGGGGACATGGGGAGCGCGGGGACAACCCTCCGTCTCTGCAGCCCCCCGCGACCAGAGAAAGAAAGGCATTTGGACTCCGAGAGCTCACAGAAAGCCAACCGGTAATGGCCAGAGCGCGGGCTGACACACACACACACACACAGTGAGAGGGTAACAACATTGGCAACCCACACGCCACTGTTTCCTCTGTCGGTGGGTCAGTAACCAGTAACCAGAGGTTGCAGATTTAAGATAACTGGCAAAAGAACCAGAGGGGAGATGAGGATATTTATTTTTAACCTGGAAAGTTGTTGTGATCTGGAATGCACTGCGTGAAAGGGTGGTGGAAGCCGATTTGATAATAACTTTCATAAGGGAATTGGATAGGTACTTAAAAAGGAAGGCTTTGCAGGGCTAAGGTGGGATTAGTTGGTGGCTCTTTCAAAGAACCGGCCCGGGTACAATGGGCCGAATGGCCTCCTTCTATGCTGTCAGGTTCTATGATTTTTTGGTTCAGCCCCAGTTAGGGAAGAGTACAACTCCCATCCGTCTTCTCTTCATAAATCGTCTAGTCACATAAGTCGCACATTCACCGAGTCCCATTCAGTTTCCTATCAAAACCAACTAGATTTATTTTCCACCAGTTGTATTAATCACCTCTTAAAGCAGCTCCCCTACCTTCCATTACTCCTGCACTTACCGGCTGCATTGAATCGTAGGAAACATAATCTTGATCCATGATCAGATGAACTTAATTTCCCGCGATTCAATGCGATTCCAGCGCTTGTCAGTGAGTGCGCTTGTGGGGACGGGTCACGAAGAGAGACAGCAACAACAAATAATTACATTTGCACAATGACTTTCACGTTGGGAGAACATTCCAAGGTGCTGGACAGTCAGGGATTTTCTGGGGATTGGGATCAGGAGTGGTGGAGGGCTGGGATGGTGGCCCAAGGCCTGGTCAAAGAGGAGTGTCTTGAGACAGGGTCTTGCAGGAGGCAAGTGAGGGAGTGAGGCAAAGCAGACAGGTTGATATGGCATTAGAGGTTAGCAGGACCTTGAAGGAGCAAAGCTGTGGAGGGCTTTGAAAGCGAGGACAAGGATTTTGAACTGTATCCTTTGTGGGATGGTTAGTTAGTGGAGCCGGGTAAGGGTGGGAGTGATAAGGTCATGAAGCCCAGTGCGTTTACACTACTCAATGGGAGTGAAGGGGCTTCATCCATTGGATTCCGTGCAGTGGGTGTGGGTGGAATGTGGGTTGTCCAGTGAAACAAGAAGTATTTTGCTTTAACAAAAGTTTTGAAAGTTTATTGTACACTGTGGTAGTTGTTGGAGATAATTACGCTTCTGAGTAATGTTTATCCCTCTTCCTCCCCCCCCCCCCCAGCCTCCCACCCTCCACACACAGCATTGTGGTGTCAGTCAACAACAAATGGCATTACTGCCACAACTCAGACATCCTGGTGGGGTCCCGAGCAATGAGGGATCGACATCTCCAGCTGCTGGGGTACACCGTGCTTCAGGTTAGTCACCCTTGGGGGTGGGGGGAACTATCTATGTCTGTGTGGGTCTTTGTGGTGTGGCTGTGTGTGTTTCTGTGGATGTGTGTGTATATTTGTATGTGTGGGCGAGAGAATATGTGGTGGACATGGGTGTGTGTGGGCGAGAGTGTTTGAGGGGAGAATGAGTGTGTGTGAGGGTATGAGGACGTGTGTGTGGGAGTGATTGAGGATGTATATCTGTGTGTTTGGGGTGGTTGAGGGTTTGTGTGGTCTTAGATGAAGGAGTGTGTGTGAGGATATGAGGGTGTGTGTGGTGTTGATGGTGGCGGCGATATTACTGTGTGAAACTGGCTGCCAATTTCACAGTCACTCCACTTTACAGTGTATTCTATGAAGCGCTTTGAAAAGTCTCGAAGACATAATTAGGCGCCATATCAAATGTAAGGATTATTATAACAATGGGTGTCTTACTGTGCTGTGCTCTCCTTGTTCCTGCAGTTGCCTTACCATGAGCTGGAAAAGCTAAACGGAATCGAAGAGGTGAAGCAGTATTTAAGGGAGAAACTGCTTGAGCTGAGGTTATGACGACCTATATTCAGAGAGTCCACAATGCTCTGTGTGGCACTGGAATGCGAGGAGATCGATCAGTGCTCACGGCGGTGGGAGCATTTGAGCCTTTTGTCCCCCGCCTCCTCTCTCTTCCCCCCCCTCCCTCCTCTCTCTTCCCCGCCACTCTCTTCCCCCCACCCCCCCATTCTTTGAGAGTGAAGGATATTCACTGTTAGTACTGTCACAACCAGCTGCCGCCATTAGCTTCACACTGTCTGTGGGTCAAACTGGGGCACCCACTGCCATTCTCGCCTCCGAAATAGAGAGTGTAGGTTTGAGCCCCCCCAATGTCAAGGGGCTTTGAGCTGAGTGTCTAGGCTGATCCTCTGCTCGAGCCCTGTGGAATCCTGCAGTGTACTGGTAAGAGCGTTCACCTCACAAGTGAAAGGACCCGGGTTCGCTTCCCGGGCAGGGTGAAACCTAAGGCAAGTTTCCGTACTCCACACGCCTGTTTACCTGGCAGTAAGTAGGAACCCAATTATTAGTCGATTTGTGGATCACTTTCCGGGGGTAATAATCCCTTTAAAAATAATAATAATTTGGTGTCTCAATCCAGAGCTGAGTGTGGGACTTTGCCGTTTGCAAATGACTGCTGCTTTTCGCCCACAAAATACACACTATGCTTTATATCTTGTGAAGCGCTTTGAGATGTCTCAAAGTCATGATAAGGTGCTTTATCAAATGCAAGGATTATTATTAGTAATAATTTGCAAGCAGTGTTTTAAATGCTTTGGGATTGAGACTGACCGGATTGAAGGATTCTTTTGAAAAACAATAATAATCCTTGCATTTGATACCGTGCCTTATCATGTCTTCGAAACGTCTCAATCTCAAATCCAAAGAGACAGTGAGTAGGTGGGACTCAGGTTCCCAGAGCTGAGGGTGAAGATCCTGGAGAGGTGAAGAGAGTTTCTTTACTGGAGGGAGTGAATAGAAAGTTTTTCCAGTTGAGGGGGTTGTCAGATCCTTTTTCATTTTCATCTTCACATCTCTTACTTCCTTTCTGCCCCCCCCACCCACCCACCCAGTGGTTAAAGCTATCGCCTCACAAGCGAGAGGACCCGGGTTCGAATCCTGGGCAGGGCAAAACCTTAGGCAAGTTTCTTTACTCTATTCCCCTCTCCTACACCCCTTTATTCCACTCTCCCACACCCCCCATTCCCCTCTCCCACACCCTCTATTCCCCTCTCCCACATCCCTCTATTCCCCTCTCCCACAACCCTCTATTCCCCTCTCCCACAACCCTCTATTCCCCTCTCCCACATCCCTCTATTCCCCTCTCCCACAACCCTCTATTCCCCTCTCCCACATCCCTCTATTCCCCTCTCCCACATCCCTTTATTCCCCTCTCCCACACCCCTCTATTTCCCTCTCCCACACCCCTCAATTCCCCTCTCCCACTCCCCTCTATCCCCCTCTCCCACTCCACTCTATCCCCCTCGCCCACTCCCCTCTATCCCCCTCTCCCACACCCCTCTATCCCCCTCTCCCCTGTTTCCGTGTCAAGTCTCCTATTAAACACTGTGACACTTTCTGCTCCAACCATAGCTCCCGGCAGTGAGCTCCACACTCTCACGGCCTCTGTGTGAAGAAGTTCCTCCTAAACCCCCTATTAGATCTGTTACTGGCTGTCTTATATTCATACCCTCTCATTTAGATATGGTTTCAGTAGTCATTGATCCAAACAAGCCTGTAGGTCAAGAAATTCCTTCTTACCTCTCACTCTCATTCTTCTCCTAACAATCTTTGCCCCATCAAACAGAATGGTTTTCCCAACTAAAGGATCTAGTCTTTCTCTATTTACCTCAGCGTGTTCCTTTGCAGTAAATCCTGCTGTCATATCCCTCTCTCTCAATCTCCCCCTCCCCAGTGAAAAAAGCCCCAATTTAGCTCAACCTCTCTTTGTGTGTAGATGGTCTCATGCCAGTGCATGTGGCCACGGTTGGACATTGGGGTTGAGTTGACCCAGGGAGATTGACACCTCCTTTGGGTCCCAGTCAAGCAATGCCCTTCACTTTATCATTTGTGTGTGTTGAGGGGGGATGGGGTTGGAGGGTGTGTGTGCGTGGGGCTGGGTGGCGGGGGATAGGTATTTGGGGTGGGAGGGTGGAGTGATTCATTTGAGATGGGATCTCTTTGTGAAATAATAATAATAATCTTGTTACTCAATCCACAACTGTTTGTGGGACGCTGCTGTGCGTAATTGGCTGCCGTGTTTCTCCCACAAAATATACAGTCAATTCACTTCACAGTATTTTCTGTGAAGCACTTTGAGACATCTCAACCATGTGATAAGGCGCTGTATCAAAGGCAACGATTATTATTATTATTGTGCGTGTGAGTGGGCTGAAGACTCAATGCATCCATTAGCAATTCAGGACTTTGTTACCATCAGCACATCAGGCGCTGTTAACATTGTCAGCCATTTTGCTGATGCCATAATTACCTTGTGATAGTGGGGTGGGAGGGGAGGTGGGAGGGGAGGTTGTAGCATTGGCAAGTGAGTGGTTTTGCCTGGTTTAGTTTTTCTACCTCTGGTAGTTTAAGAGTAGGGTATTTTTTAACCGTTTAAAGACTTTGTATGATATTGTGGTCTTGTTTGCGGAGTAGTGCGGGGGGTGGGGGAGGCAATCCACTCTCTAACATAGTAATGTTGACCTACACAACACAGAATCTGTTTTATTAAGCTCATGCTCTCTCACCTCCGGCTCCAAAGGTTGAGGGTTCAAGCCCCACATCCAGGGCTGTGAGTTCACAGGACAGACTGTTCAGGCGGACGTTAAAGATCTCCTTCGGCGCTGTCGGGAAAAGAGAAGGGAGTTTCTCTCTCTGTCCTGGGGTCCTGGCCAACAATCCCCCAGGTCGTTCGCCTCATGTTTGGGACATACTGCTGGTTAAAAAAAAACAGTCACTACAGTCGCAGGAATTCCCTGTGAAGCGTTTTGAGATGTGAGAATGTTAAAGACACTGAATCAAATGCCTGATAACCAGTGATATTCCTTATTCCTGATATCCAGCATTGAAAACTCCAGTTAAACGTTGAGTTGGTGGTGGGGGGGAGGGGGGACGAGTAGCATTCATTCCAAATCATTGCCATCACCATTATTAGGAATTTTGACAATTGGTGGTTTGTGGTTATGATCTTGGGAATCTTAATAGCAACAACTTCTATTTATATGGTGCCATTCAGGGTTTCTTTTTGTAGATGAACGCAGGGGCCATCTTTTGCTGAGTGACCGATGTATCTGGAGGATTGTTGGCAAGGTCACTGGGGAAACTCCCCTTTCTTTATCAGCGTTGGTGATGGGATCATTGTAATCTTCACAGACAGACAGATAGACCGATATCTCCCGGTTGTTTGTCAATTGGCGGAACAATTTCTGGTGGTTATAATTCCTTTAAAAAAAATTGGTCACTCAATCCACCACTATAGGACACTGCTGTGTGCGTTGGCTGCCGCGTTTCACCCACAAAATACATAGTTACTGCACTTTACAGTATATCTTGTGACGCGCTTTGAGACATGTCAACAACATGATAAGGTGCTATATCAAATACAAGGATTATTATTATAACAAAGCCTGACCGAACGCTGTGATCCTATTGACTGTGAGGCTGGGATATAATTTGTGGCCTCTGAATGAGGTTCAGCGCCTGAGGTCTATCTGCTGCTCACATAGACCTCTCCAGTGCTCTGTCCCCATGACTGGTCTTTTGAGATGGTTGATGATGGCCCGACTCCTCTCATCCTCCTGCCCCATCCTCCCGGGTGGGGGGAGAGCTTCTTCTTCGACAGTTCTCACAGTTGCCTCCCCCCCTCCCCCTGGCTTGGCCTCAGGCTCCGCCACTGTTAAGTGCCTGGAGACGCTGGCCCGTGTGAAGGACGCTGTATAAATGCAAGTTGTTGTTGAGAGGAATTGGTGGATGATTGGCTGCCGACCCAGGCAATGGTTTGTCAGAGTTGCAGGAAGCTTTTAGACTATTGAGGTCCCTCCTCCCCCCAGAGCTGTGTGTGAAGGTGAACAAGGAACCTGGAAAGTGCACCAGTCCTCACAGGTCAGGTTCAGGCGGACGCCATAGATCCCACGACCCTTTGAAACGAGAAGGGAGTTTCTCTCTGTTGTCCTGGCCGCCAATCCTCTGTGAGTCAATGAGTTGTTCACGTGACTTGTGTACGTTTGAGACCTTGCTGTGGGCCAAACTGTCTGCTGCATTCCCCCAGCAGAAGTCGCTGTTCTTGACAGTAATTACTGAGGAGGTTTGAAGATGACCATATTGTGGTCTGGGTTTCCACAGTTGTGTGGTACATTGGAGGGAAGGATCCAGTCTCACTGAACTGATAGTGTTGACCTGTGCTCGCTGTGTTCGCTACCCTCCCCTGTCCCAGTGCCTCTCGCAGAGTGGCCAAGACACGCACATATTTCACCTGAAGTAAGTGTACCTCTCCTGGGGCCTGGCTGGAAGCCCCTTTCCAGCCCAATGGTGGGGAGAGAGAGCTCATCTGGTGCTATTTATTTTTACAACCGTTTTCATGACCTGGGACCCTGACAGCCCAATCATTCAGTCAGTCAGACAGTCAACCAGTGAGTCAGTCGGTCAGCTGAACAGTCAGAAACAATGAGATGAACAGTCAGTAAGAGGGAGTCAGTCAGATTCAGACAGTGTCCATCTGGCGCAGACATTCGGACAGACACAGTCAGTCATTTCAGACATGTTAAATATCACCTAGTTTTGTTACAAGCTCTGGTTATTCTGGGCTACACTCACTGAAACCAGTCCTTTGTGTCATTGTTCAGTGTAGAATGAGAGTGAACTCAATGCCAACCCCCGGGGAGGGGGGGGAAGAACATCGGGGCAGGGAAACGTAGTCTTAGATTTTGGCACGTGGTTTGGGAAGTTGGGATGGAATTTTGGGTGTAGCTGGGTAAGAGTTTGGGGAGGGTTGGGGGAATGTAATGGGTGTAAAAGGTGTACATATATATGTTGTGTGTTTTGAGGTAAATATTTTTTAAAAAACTAAATCTACTCTGCGCTAGTGTGTGCAGGGGTGTGTGTGTGTGTATGTGAGCAGTGTTGTGAAATCTTTTTGCATTTGTATGAGGGTTGGAAACGGGAGGGACGAGGGTGTTGGGTGTGTGGTTAGTCAGGTACAAGTTTGTAGGGGTGAAGAGGGGGCCTGGGGTGTGGGGGAGGGAGTTAAACCTGACGGACAGGTTTTTAATTTTTGGTTTAATGTGTGTATCAAGGGGAAACGTTTTCACAATGAACACACAAAACCCTGCAGCAAACTTGTTGGAAAAGGGTGTGAAACGTCTAGAAAATAAAAAAAAATAAACTCAACTCTCTTCTCTTCTTTGTGGGCACAATTGGTGGAAAATGGCAATTGCATTGACAAACCATGTGGTTTTAGTTGGTTAGACTCCAGCATTTGCCCCAATGTACACTCGGGTCCTCAAGCCTTTGCTCTTGCCAACCTGCGCTGAATACTTTCCAGAATTCCATTCCATTCCAACAATCTCTCTCTGGGATTTATTTCCATGTGTAGCTGCGCTACATGGAAATCTCAGCTGGTTTGGATACGCTTAAGCAGGTGATGGGTTTCTGCATGTGTCAGGAAATTAGGGGGAGAATTCCACCTTGGTGCCGATGTTTTAAAACATTCTCCTGACGGGAAATGAAAGGCACTATACAGGGTAATATTGTTAAATTCTATTGTAGAGATAAATAAACACTTAAAAAGGAGTAAGCCACAGGGGGTTGGGAAAAGGGGTTGAAAAATGGGACAGAAAATATTGTTCTTTAAAGAGCCGGCAAAGACACCATGGGCTGAATGGCAACTTTCAGCGGACGTCCTCCCGATCTGAAAGACGCTATACAAATGTAATTTTTGTTTGTTGTTTCTGCCCCTGCCCTCTCCCCCATCGGCAGTCGGGCCTTCAGTCTTTTTGCCCCCACTTCTGGAACGCCATCCCTGAGCCCCTCCATCTCACCCCCTCCAAGGCCTGTCTCAAGACTTTCCCCTTTGATCGTGCTTTTGGCCACCATCCATCCCTCTTGATTCCAACCTGCAGCTCAGGTGCAAACCCTCAAATGTCCAGTGCCTTGGGACAGCACAGACACAATGGGGAGGGAGAAGGGAATGAGATTAGAGAGCTCCAATGGGGGAGTGAGCACCAGCACAGACACAATGGAGCATGAAAACAGATTGAAGATAAACGAAGCCCACACACACACACACACAGTGACATCTCCTTCTGGCCTTCAGTTTATTAACCTGGTGCCTGATTATAACAGGTACTGCACAGTGTACAAGGAGTTGGGACACTCAGCCACAAATTAATTCACGTGTTTACAACAGGTCCCTGAATCTGCACATGCGATTAATTGAACAGCCAACAGAATATTACTCAAGATATCAAAATAAAACATCACCATCGATCGACACAGCCCTAAAAATTAGTCCAAAAGTATTAAAAAGTGCCAAATGCTACTACTTTATGGCTCCTTTAGAGTACGTGAGCCACAGCCGCTATGTGAAGGACCATAAGGTGTTGGCTTGGCTCGGCAGAACTCTCAGATTGTGGGTTTGAATCTCACTCCAACGTTGGACTGTCAGAATCCTGATGACAAGGTGTTTAAAGGTCCTGACTGTGTCCTGCTCAGGTGGACATTAAAGATCCCACAACGCTATCGGAAAAGAAGATTTTCTCTCTCCCCCTCTCTCCTGGCCGACAATACTCAGTTTGATCTGCTCTTTCACCTCAGGACTGCATGTGCGCTTGGCACGCCTCTTTTTCCCTACACAGTAACTACACTGAACAATTCCCTGCGAAGCCCTGGAACTTTTCCAGGCGCTTTATCAAATGCAAAAGATCACCATTTGTCTTGCACATGGGCAATGATCCCCTCCTAATGGCTGAAACAACAGACATTAAGGAAGGAGGGTGGTGAAGGAGACCAAGGGGTGGCGGGGGTGGGGAGAAAGATTGGGATCGTCATTAAAAAGCTTCACCAGTCCCTCCCTTCATTAAGAGTTCCACATGCAAAGTAATTTTATCCCTTCTCCCTCCCAAGAAATAAACCTGTTCTCAGGAAATGTGAGACTCCACATCCCGTAGCAAACGAGGATAGACCCAGACACACAAACTCGGGAGCTACAAAAATAAAGCTCCCGTCATCAGCTACTCTTCCCAAGAGAATCTCAATGCTCCGGCCAGGATTGTTCAGGGACAGAAATAAACCCTGACAGTCTGTCTGCCATGGGATAGCTCCAACAACAACTTGCATGTATACAGTGCCCCTCACGCAACGTAGTGTCCCAGAGCGCTTGACAGTGGTAGAGCCGAGGGGATTGATCAAGAATTACTCCCTTTCGCCAATGTCTTGTGAATAACCCTCAACTGGGTGCGGGTTTCGGGGGGGGAGTGGGCTGTGATCCGCAGTGTTGCATCAGTTACAGAGCCACAAAGCTCTGGTTAGAAGACTCGCCTCGCAAGCGAGAGGACCCGAGATGGATTGCCGGGGAGGGCGAAACCTTAGGCAAGTTACGTAAACTAACAACCGGGTTCCTACTTACTGATAAGAGGCGTGTGGCGTAAGGAAACTTGCCTAATGTTCTGCCCTGCCTGGGCATCGAATCCAAGTCCTCTCGCTTCTGAGGGGAGTGTTCTAACCACACATAGAAAGGTGGGTCACATTCCCCCACCCCACAAACCTCTATACAGAGCGCACGCACACACACAGCCAAAGCCACGGCAGCAATAAGGGAGTTGGTTACAGCTACAAGTAAACCATAGTCTCGAAATTCCTTCAAGTCTCAGCCTTCAAGTCTTTCTGAAGTTCAGACAGAACAGCACTGCATTCATTGTGCGAGACTTAAATGGCGGAGACTTTGCCGTTGAGGGCAAAATGGCAGCGTCAGAGACTGGATAAGCCCAGAACAGCCCGGCCTAACCCAGCTGGTTCCTCGTTGTTGAAACTCAGGCTACGATCACTGATAACAAAATAACAGAAGTGGCTGGGAACACTCAAGAGGTCAGGCAGCATCTATGGAGAGGAAAGTGAGTTAACGCTTCAGGTCAATGATCAAAGTTCACTTGGAACAGTCAACAGGTCAGGCAGCATCTATGGAGAGAAGGGATTTGAAGGAAGGGTCCTTACATTCAAATCCCTTCTCTCCATAGATGCTGCCTGACCTGCTGACTGTTCCCAGCCATTTCGGTTTGAATTCAGATTTCCAGCATCTACAGTATTTTGCCTTTTTTTCCCCCCCTCTATGATCACAGTTGGGCAGAGAAAAGGGTAAAGAGCACAGGTGGGGGAGCGAGCCAGTCAGTTACTGAGGAGCGGGGGAGGGACAGGGATAAGGGGAGCCATGTCACCAGCGGGAGATCAGTCATCCTGTTGTTTATTTTATTTTTAATTTTATTAAAAAAAAGTAAAACTTAAAAAAAAAAAGCACTTTTCCTAAACCCCCTAAAATAAAAAACTATAAACCCTGTAACTTCACATCACATCACGTCAAACAACGGAAACACTTTATTTACAAACAATAGGGAACGGTGGGAGTTGGGAGAAGAGGGAGTGGGAGGGGGGAGGGAGCAGGGACGAGCGGGAGGGGAGAAGAGGGTGTGGGAGGGGGGAGGGAGCAGGGACGAGCGGGAGGGGAGAAGAGGGTGTGGGAGGGGGAGGGAGCAGGGACGAGCGGGAGGGGAGAAGAGGGTGTGGGAGGGGGGAAAAGGGCTGGGGTTTGGGTGGTGGGATAGGGTGATGGACGAGGCAGCCTTTGATGGAGAGGGCGATGGACTAGGAGAGGGGCTTTGCCAGGGGAGGGGGCAATGGGTGTGGGGTGGATGGGGGAGGGGGTTGAAGGGGTTCTCCTGTTAGAATGCTGGTGATAAACTCAGCTTGTGGGCGATATTTGCTCTGTGTGTCGTGTGCTATATGGCCTCGCCTCAGGGTTCCCCTGTTCTCTCCCTCCCTCCTGGTCGCAGTTAGGGTTAGTCCGACTCTGACCCCGATGAGCCCTCCGAGGACGAGCTGCTCCCATCGGACTGGTCCTCCTCATCTTCCTCTTCATCCTCCTCGGCATCTTCCTCATCCTCGTTCTGTTCACGCAACAAAAAAAATTGTAAGATAATAATCGTTGCATTTGATATAGCGCCTCATCACGTCTTCACAGAATATACTGTGACGTGGAGTGACTATTTTGTGGGTGAAACGTGGCAGTCAATTGTGTACAAACAGTCGTGAATTGAGTGACCAAATTATTTTTTTGAAGGGATTATTACCCCCAGAAAGCGTACGTCAATCGACTAACAACTGGGTTCCTACTCACTGGACTAAGGAAATCTGCCCAACGTTTTGCCCTACCCGGGAATCAAACCCAGGGCCTCTCGCTTGTGAGGCGAGGGCTCTAACCAGTGAGCTACACGCCTCCAACAACAACAACAACAACAACAAGATTCCATTTATAAAGCGCCTTTCACGTCAGGAGGACGTCCCAAGGCGCTGCACAGTTGGGTCATGACCCGAGCAGGGAGGAAATGGTCAGGGTGAGGGGAGGGAAGGGAGGGAGCGAGGAGGGGGGAAATGGTCAGGGTGAGGGGAGGGAAGGGAGGGAGCGAGGAGGGGGAAGAGAGTCGAGAGGGGAGCTGAAGGCACGGTCAAAGAGAAAGGTTTTGAGACCGGCCTTGAAGGAGGAAAGGGAGGAAGCGGCGAAGGCACTGGGGGATGGAGTTCCAGAGCCTCGGGGCTGAGAGGCTGAAGGCCCAACCACCGATGGTAGGGCGATTGGGGCGGGGGACGTGGAGCAGACCAGAGCCAGAGGAACGGAGGGTACGGGCAGGTAGGTAGTGGGATAGTAGGTCGGAGAGGTAGGAGGGAGCGAGGCCATGAATGGCCTTGTAGGTGAGGATGAGGATCTTGAAATCAATCCTCTGGGGGATGGGGAGCCAGTGGAGACGAGCGAGGGCGATGGTGAGGGCGAGGGTGAGAGCCAGGGCGAGGGTGAGGGTGAGGGTGGGAGTGATGTGGTCGCAGTGTCTGGTGCGGGACAGTACACGAGCTGCAGAGTTCTGAATGACCTGCAGTGTGGAGGGAGGTGGCGGGAAGGCCGACGAGGAGAGAGTTCCCATAGTCCAGCCTTGAGGTGACAAAGGCGTGAACCAGGGTTTCAGCAGCGTGAGGGGTGAGGTAGTGCCGTAGTCTGGCGATGTTCCGGAGGTGATGGAAGGCGGTGCCAGTTGTGGTGCGGATGTGAGGGAGAAAGGACAGCTCAGGGTCGAACAAATCGCCGAGGTTCCTGACTGGCTTTGAGAGGTGGAGAGTGCAGCCTTGGATGCTGATGGTGTCAGCGCCTGACACGCCTCCAAATGTAACACACTGACCTCTCCGTCCTCGTCAGTACCGCTCTCGGACGAGCCGGACGAATCCTCTTCCTCATCGTCGTTGGACTCAGACTCCGCGCTCTTCTCAGCTTCGTCTTCAGAGTCAGAGGAATCCTGTCACAGTGAAAAGCCATGTAAGACTGGCCGAGATCACGAGGGACACCTGCTCCGTAACCCACCGGCTCTGTCACTGTCAGTCCTGGTGTACACACCCCACACCACCATCTGCTTCTCTGTCTCTCTCTACCTCTCTAGTTGTCTCACTGTGTGTGTATGTGTGTGTGTGAGGGGCTTGGTTTCTCTCTCTGGTTCTATCGCTTTCTGTCCCTCTCTCTCCTCTCTGTAGCTCTTCCTGGTTCTCTCACTTTCTGTTTCTGTCTGTGTCTCTCGTCACTCTTTCTCTCTCTCTCTAGTTATCTTTCTCTCTCTGGTTAATTTTCTCATCCACTCTCTCTCTCCCTGCTTCCCTCCCTCCCTCTCTGGCTCGCTCTCACCAGTTGGTGCTGAACCACAGATAAACTGGCCAGTCACTTGCCTATGAACAGCCAGTCATTAGACGTGACAACAATTGCCTGTGAAGCACTCTGACACGTCTCAAAGTCAGAAACTCTGCATCAAATATTAATAATAATATTAATGTGTGTATTTGATACAGCGCCTTATCACGTCATTGATGTCTCAAAGTTGTTCACAGGATATATTGCAGAGCGTAGTGATTGTGTATTTTGTGGGTGAAACGCGGCAGGCAGATGCACACAGCAGCGTCCCACAAACAGCCATGGACCATTTTATTTTGGGGATTGTTGTCCAGGACACCGGGAGAGAGAGAGAGAGAAACTCCCTTCTCTTTTCCAATAGCCCCGCGGGATCTTTACCATCCACTGAACAGGCAGACGGGACCTCGGGTTAACGTCTCCTCCCGAGGAAGGCACCTCCCACAGTGCATCCCCCACCTCCCCCAGCGCTGTATTGGAGCATCAGCTTAGACTGTGTGATTCCAAGTCCTGACGTGGGGCTTGAACCCACAACCTCCTGACTGAGAGAGAGAGACAGAGAGGGAGAGGCAGAGGGAGAGAGTGCTACCACTGAGCCAGGCTAACAAGCAAACCATTGTGTCCATCCACAGATCAAATGCAATGATCATCAGCAGCAGCAGCCGCTGGCTGAACAAGAACAACTTGTATGTCTATAACAGCCCTCAGACAGGATAGCGTCCCAGAGCGTTTAAAGTGGACTCACCGACTCCTCCACCTGAGACAGCACATTAACCTTCGCTGGGGGTCCCAGGGCTTTGCCAGAACCTTTACGTTTCTGCAGAAATAATTAGAGCGACATTTACACCAGAACTGAGAATAGCACACCTCGAGCTGAACACGGAAACCTCAACAACAACTTGCACTTATATAGCGCCCTACATGCTGACTAGCCTCCCGGAGCGCTTGACAGTGGCGGTTTCTGAAAAAGAGCCAGGGGAGAGGGAGGGGGGCACAGAGTTTAGTGCGTGTAATAGGAACCCAGTGAAGCGCTGGTGTGATGGGTGGGTGTGTGGAAGCTATTCGGGTGAGGATGTGGAGGTTTGGATGAATTGAAGCTGATGGACGGTGGAGTGAGGGAGAGCAGCGAGGAGAGCGTTAGCCATCCAGACACGAGGTGATGGTGAGGGGGGGAGGGGGGGGGGATAAAGGTTTAGGTGGTGTTTAAGGTGAAGTCGAGGGATGTGGCGGAGGTGAAGGAAAGCAGAGACTGGGTGTGAGTGAGAGAGGAGGGCCGAGGATTTGAAACAGGTTATGCACTTGTTCAGTGAGTTTGAAAGAGAGAGACCAGGGAGGGTGAGGAACCTGTGTGTGTGTGTGGGTCTCACTCACCGCTGTTGTATATTCCTTGTATACTGCACGCTCTTGGGTTGAGAGGCTCTGCAATAAATAAGCAGCGGTGAGAGAATAGGACCAAACCAACTGGAACCTGCATCTGCAACCACAACCCTCCTCGCCCCTTTCCCCACGCAACCCGCCACCTCTCCCCCACACAACCCGCCCCCCCCCTCCTGGTGTGATGATGGTAATGTACAGTTATACTGGGGGCAGGCAGCATCGCTGGGGGCTGGACGAGCTGATCTACCTGTGAGAGAGTCTCACCTTGAGCCAGACCTCCAGGTCGGCCTTGTACTCCAGCTGCTGCTCCTCCACCAGCTTCTTGTAACCGTCCTTCTGTGCCTGGCTCTGCTTCTGCCATCGCCGGCCAATCTCCACCATCCGCTCCTTCAGCCCAAAGTGAGTCAGCTCCCCGTTTGTCAGCAGCTCCTGCGAGAACATCTGGTACCCGCTCCTTCAGGGGGTAAGAGAATCATAGAATATTACAGCACAGAAGGAGGCCATTTGGCCCATTGTGCCTGTGTCGGCTCTTTGGAAGAGCCACCAACCAATCCCTCTCTCCCAACCTTCAAAAGGGAGACCGGCACCGGCCAGGATCTGAGCTCAATAACCCGGGCAGAGGCATTGCCCAGCGCCGTACCAGGTAGTGAGGCTCAAACCCACGCTTGTTGGCTGTCGAACAATCAACTGGCGACTAACCTCCGTAGGGGGGAGGGGGCAAGTGGGGTTTCCTCGGGACTGAACTGGCCCCAGGGTGACCCGTTTGGCAACGGAATCACAGAATCGGGTCCCCCCTCTGTGCCGGTCTCTATAATAATAATAATAATCCTTGCATTTGATATAGCGCTTTTCACGTCGGGAGGACGTCCCAAAGCGCTTCACAGAACACACTGTAAAGTGAATTGACTGTATATTTGTGGGCGAACGCGGCAGCCAATTGCGCACAGCAATGTCCCACAAACAGTCGTAGATTGAAAATGACCAATTTATTATTGTTTTTGGTTTTGGAGGGATTATTATTAGGCTCTGTGTGGAGTAAGGAAACTTGCCCAAGGTTTCGCCCTCTGCCTGGAATTGAACTCAGGTCTCTCACTTGCAAAGCGAATGGTGTAACCACTGAGCTACAGGACTCCACAGGACTCTAGTCCGGTTCCTGAGCCAGGAGGGGCCGCAGTGTCCCAGGGCACTCACTGCTGATGACAGCACAGCCCGGCCCGGCTCATCTGTCTGCCTTGGGTGTGCCAGGGTGTCCTTTTCCTTTGGTTTTGGGGTGTCTTTAATGTGCATCTGAACAGACATATGAGCCTCCCCCAGCACTGTGCTCAAAACTGGAACTCGATCTCTCTGCCTTACCCACTCCTTCCACGTCTTTAGGTCACGCTAGAACATAAGAACTGGGCTAAGACTTCCTCTTCAACCGGGCCTTCAGTCACCCTCCTACCCTCACCCTTTCTGCCCTCCACTCTCCTGATCCCAAACCCCAGCTCAGGTCCAAATCCCTGACTGTTCAGCACCTTGGGACGTCCTCCCGACGTGAAAGGTGCTGTGTAAATTAGTGCAGTGACTGATTGGCCGTCTGTATGGAGTGAGCAATGAATGACGATGGAAATATGTGCAAAACCTTTTCAACAGGAGCAAGAGATTTGGAAAGCCGGAAAATCGGAGCCGGAGGAACCGTCACCGGGTGGGAAACCGGGAAAACTTACATTGGCGGCTTCTTCGGTTCCCCGTCGAATTTCATCTTCTTCTGCGATTGCGCTGTGACGGGCGACCGGATTTCCGTCAACTCTCTCTGTAACACATCGGAGACATTATATAATAATAACAATCCTTGCAATCGATACAGTGCTTTATCACGTCTTCGAGACGTCTCAAAGCACTTCACAGGATATACTGTAAAGTGTAGTGACTGTGTGTTTTGTGGGCGAAATGCAGCAGCCAGTTGCGCACAACGATGTCCCACAAACAGCTGTGGATTGAATGAACAAATCTGGGGAGGAATTATTACTCCAGGAAAGCAGTCCACCAATTGACTAACTACCGGGTTCCTACTTACTTGCCTGAGGTTTTGATACACCCAGGAATGTCCCAATGGACTCCACAACAATATTCCTACAACCTCCCCTCCCACCCCCACAAGAATTACTATAATAATAATCCTCGCATTTGACAGGGCACCTTTCAGGGTGGATGGATGTCTCAAAGCACTTCACAGGATTTACTGTAAAATGGGCTGAAAAGATTTGTTCATCCAGACCCTGTTGTGAAGAGACCAGGATTCAAAATCTTGTAGTTTAGGGGTTAGAGCACTCGCTCGTCAGCGAGAGGGCCCGGGGTGGATTCCCGGGCAGGGCAAAACGTTGCGTAAGTTTTCTTACTGCAAACGCCTCTGTTTTCCAGCAGTGAGTAGGAACCCGGCTGTTAGTCTATTGGCAGATCGCTTTTCCGTGGATAATAATTCCTTCAATAAAATAAAAATTATTTGGTCACTCAATCCACAGATGTTTATGGGACACTGTTGAACGTAATTGTCAGTCGCATTTCGCCAACAAAACACACAGTCACTACATTTTACATATATCCTGTGAAGCGCTTTGAGACATCTCGAAGCCGTGATGATGCGCTGTATCAAATGCAAGGATTATTCTACAATAAAGTGTTTTGGGTGGGGGGGGGTTTCGTGTTGGGGGCGAGGGGGTGTCAGCCGCTCACACCTCGTATCGCTTCTGGTCGTTTGCTGCTTTCTTTATCCAGGGAATCTTCTGTTTCTTATCCAGCGCTGACCAGGCCATTTCCATGGCTGCCTGTGCCTTCCTGCTGTCGTTCTGGGGTCAGACAGAGAGAGGCATCATCAGCAACAAAGCTACTCAGAGATTTAAAGGGTGGGGGCAGAGAAGCTGAAGGCCCCACAGACTGTCGATGGTGGTGTTGGCCGGGTGCAGGCCGGAGCCCGTTGAGCAGAGGGAGTGGAAACATTGGTGACGTTTTAATAGGTAACAGAGGTAGCGAGGAGCAAGGCCATGGAGGGCTTTAAAAGTGAGGACAAGGATCTTGAATTTGATCCTGTGGGAGATGAGAAACCAGTGTAGCAGGGCAGGGGGTGCTGGGCAGGGAGTACGGGGCGGGCAGGGCGGGGGGTCAGTGCCCACTGGGCGGGGGGAGTGGGCGGGAGGGTAAGGTGTTTTCAGGGCAGACACTCACCTTGCACCTCACCAGGTACTCGGACACGACACTGCGCTGCCACATCTCCTCGGCTGTCTTGGGTGTCTCCGGCAGCCGTGGCTTTTTCTTGCCCCCGACGTCCTTCTTCTCCTTCAGGAAACTCTGCATCTTCTGCTCGTGCTCTGCTTTCAGGGCTCGCTCCATCTTCTTGTACTTCTCCTGAACAACAACAACGACAACTGGCATTTATGGAGTCCGGTATTGTAGTGGTTAGCACACTCGCCTCGCAAGAGAGAGGACCCGGGTTTGATTCCCGGTTGGGATGAAACCTTAGGCAAGTTTCTTTACTCCACACACACGCCTCTGGTTGCCTCGCAATACGTAGTATCTGCAACGATCTGATAGAATAGTGGAACAGGCTCGAGGGACCGAATGGCCTAATCCTGCTCCTCTGCTCAAGACAACAAATGACATTTACACAGCGCCTTTCACGTCGGGAGGACGTCCCAAATTGCTGGAGAGTCAGGGATTTGGACCTGAGCTGGGGCTGGTATCAGGAAGGGTGGAGGGTAGGGGTAGGAGGGTGACCGAAGGCGTGGTCAAAGAGGGTCTTGAGATGAGCTTTCAAGGAGGGACGGGAGGGAATGGGACTGTTCCAGAGAATGGGGTCAGACAGACTGAAGGCCCGACCGTTGATGGTGGGGCGGGAGCCTGTGGAGCTGGAGCCTGCTGAGCGGAATGTGTGTAAGCCGTTCTCCATTCGTAAAGGAAATGGTGATATAAATGTATATGATTTAAAAAGATATATTTCAGTTGTGCAAAAAAATTATAATAATTTGATCACTCATCCACGACTGTTTGTGGGACGCTCAAATGTAAGGATTATTATTATTATTCCTACCCTCTTCTTTTCTGACAAATCGTTCCACATCCTGGCCAGCTGTCGTGTCAGCTCGCTCTCCGACAACTCGGGATTATCCTTCCGCTTTTCTTGGAAAAATAGGAACATGGCGGAGATAGGTTGCTTGGGGCGTTCGGGAGCCCTCTGTGAGGGAGACAGTAAACATCACGTTACCCTGTGTCACACTGAATCCAACATAGATTTGGTTCATAAAGGATAAGGAGTCCTGTAGCTCAGTGGTTAGAGCGCTCGGCTCGCAAGTGAGAGGACCAGAGTTTGATTCCTGGGCAGGTAAAAACCATAGGCAAGTTCCTCTCCTCCACACACCTCTGTTCACATAGCAGTAAGTAGGAACTCAGTTGTTAAATCGATTGGTGGAACACTTTCTGGGGATAATAATTCCTCCCAAAAAATTTGGTCACTCAATCCACGACTATTCGTGAGACACTGCTATGCGCAATTGGCTGTTATGTTTCGCCCACAAAACACGCAGTCACTATACTTCACAGTATATCCTATGAAGCGCTTTGAGATGTCTCAACGACGTGATAAGGCGCGATGTCAAACTCGAGGATTATTATAGTTAGAAGTGTGCGTGTAAATGTGTGTGCGCACTTCAGAGCAGGTGGGGAATCAGTTATAATATAATAATCCTTGAATTTGATATAGTGCCTTATCACATCGTTGGCACGTCTCAAAGGGCTTCCCAGGATATACTGTAAAGTGACTTGACTGTATATTTTTTGGGTGACTAACCGTCGTCTACTGCAAGGTAAACAGAAGTGTGTGGAGTAAGGAAACTTGTTTAAGGTTTCGCCCGGCCCGGGAATCGAGCCCAGGTCCTCTCCTTGCTCTAACCCTAAGCTATAGGACTCCACTCTATGTAAACAAACTTTACATATACCACGATATGTCTGGGATCGTGTGGGAAGCCCTGACCTTGGAGGTTGGCGATTCAGGTAAGGTGGGGCTGATTTTAGCCCTCAGGGGGCTGCTGGTCTGAGCGCCCGCTATGGTGCTATTACTGAGTCGGCCACCCAGCTTCTCCTCCAGGAGCACTCGCTCTCGCTCTTCATCTGGGAGACTCTAAGAGACAGATAGCATTAGACAACAAACCAACACCGTCAACAGTTCACTGGTTAGAGATACAGTAAATCTGCCTCCACACTGTCCAGGTCAGGGTTAGAGACACAGTAAAGCTCCTCTACACTGTGTGTCCACACTCCCAGGTCAGGGTTAGAGACACAGTAACGCTCCTCTACACTGTGCGTCCACACTCCCAGGTCAGGGTTAGAGAACAGTAAAGCTCCCTCTACACTGTGCGTCCGTCCACACTCCCAGATCACGGTTACAGACACGTTCCTGCGATGCAACGATCGATCGATGTAACGAGAGGTTTATTTAATAACAGAAGCAGGAGGAGGCCATTCACCCAGTTTACCAGAGATTGTGGTAAGTCTTTTGACACTAGTTCCTTCCCTTTTACCATATCCTTCACCTCCTTTATTTCCCCAAGTGGCTATTATTATTATTATTATCCATCTCCCTTTTAAACATATCGATCAATTCTGTCTCTATAGCTATCTGTGCATTCGAACTTTTCATAATCTCCTCTTTGAAAGGGAAATGGATAGAGACTCGAGGTGTAAGTGTATTTACGGGGGGGGGGGGAGAAGAGAAGGTATTAAGACATCAGCCATGATCGAAAAAACTGACAGAATAGGCTTGACAGGTTGAGCAGCCTCCTCCTGCTCCTGTGTGAATCTTAAGTTTAAACAAGGTGAACATCCAACTAGTGACTATCCTCCTTGGGTCTCCTCGGAGCCGAACTGGCCCCAAGGTGATATGTTTGGCAACAGAATGTCGGAATCCAGTCCCCTCTCTGTGCCGGTCTCCAGTCCGGGTCCTGACCAGGAGGGGCCGCAGTGTCCCGGGGCACTCACTGCTGATGGCAGCACAGCCCGGCCCGGCTCATCAGCAGGACCTGGAAGGGCCGACCAGTCACTGGGGGCCGGGAATCCTCCCCCTCAGCTCCTGGTAACCCCACAGCCAAAGCCCTAACTAACGGGGAGGGGGGTCCTCGTTGGACAAGCAGCGGGAAAGCTGCCGGACAGTGATATCAATGGCCGAGCGGTGTGGGTTTAGCGGGTTACACTCCAGCAGTTACCCCAACACACACTCTGGGCCCCCAAGCCTTGGCTTTTACCAATTTGCGTCTAATACTCTTTGGAATTAGGTAAACAGGATGTATCCCTCCAGGGAGAGAGCAGGGAGCGAGTGAGAGATGAGGGGGGAGAGAAGGGGGAAGGGGGAGCAGTAGATCCTGAGCTGGGGGTTGGGGGGAAATGATTGAGGTATACACTCACCTCCAGGAATCTCTGTATTTCAGACTCGTACAGCTTCTTCCTCTGTGAGAAGGGAAAAGTAAACATCACAGTTATTGTCCTGTGGGTGAGATATTAAACTGAGTTCCTCTAGCAGAACAATAATAATAATAATCCATGCATTTGATACAGACCTTATCGCATCGTTAAGATGTCTCAAAGCACTTCACAGAATATACTGTAAAGTGAACTGACTGTATATTTTGTGGGTGAAGCGCGGCAGCCAATTGCGCACAGCAGCGTCCCCCACAGTCGTGGATTGAGTGACCACATTATTTTGCAGGATTATTATCCCCAGAAAATGATCCACCAATTGACTAACAATCGAGTGCTACTCACTGCTGGTAAACAGATATGTGTGGAGTAAGGAAACTTGTCTAAGGTTTCGCCCCGGCTAGGAATCGAACCCGGGTCTCTCGCTTGTGAGGCAAGCGCTCTAACCACTGAGCTACAGGACTACAATAATGATAAATACAAGATTTATCATTATTATTGTAATATACTCGACTGGAAGTGGCTGTGGCGTGGTGTTGTCGCTGCTCACCTGCTCACATCGCTTCTGATACATGTCCTTCTCCTTCTGCGACATCACCTTCCACTGTTTGCTGCACAGCACCATGCGCTCAGTGCTGGGCACGTCCTTCATGTTCACCATCAGCTCCGCACAGTACAGCGAGTACCCATTCCTGCCGCGTACAACAACAACTTGTACAGCGCCCCTCACACGGGGAGCATCCCAGAAGAACTTGACAGTGGCGGACACACATGACACCCCCCCCCCCACACCCCGCACACACCGCCCCCCCCCACCACGCACCCCCCCCCCCACCACGCACCCCACCCACCACCACGCACAACAACTTGTATATATATATATACACCGCCCTCCATGCCGGAGGCGTCTTAGAGCTTCACAGTAACGGATCCCGGGGCCAAGCCAGGGGAGGGGGAGGAGCCAGTGGAAGGGGGAGGGGCCAGTGGGAGGGGGAGGAGCCAGTGGGAGGGGAGGGGCCAGTGGGAGGGGAGGGGCCAGGGGGAGGGGGAGGAAGGTGACCAAAGGTGCAGTCGAACAGCACCGCACCCCATCCTCCCCCGGGCCGTACTGTATATCGGAAGACACCAGAGAGGAGGTTCTCTGTGGCCTCTCACTCGGGATTGAGGGCCTGAGGGACAGGTCAAACACAGACTTACGGAGGTGGTTTGGTCGGTCGGCCGTCAAATTTATCTTTCAGCTGACGCTCGGCTTTGGTGAGGACGGACTTGACCGGCTCGTCCAGGGTCGAGTCGGGATGAGCTTCAATATAAACCTTCAGTGTGGCCTGGAGAAACAGAACTCAGTTAGTCACACACCGCAACATTCCCCCCCACCCCACCCCGTCCACATTGGTGCTTAGTGACAGTACAGGTTAGAGACATAGCAAAGCTCCTCTGTGCGTCCACACTCCCAGGTCGCCGCAGGATCTTTAACATCCACCTGAACAGGCAGACGGGACTTCGGTTTAACGTCTCACCCCAAGGACAGCATCTCACACAGTGCAACCCCCCCCACCCCCCAAGCGCTGCAACCTCCAGACTCGGAGGCGAGAGCGATACCGCTGGGCCAGGCTCATGTAGCCTCCTCCCCACTGCCCGCCGGTCCGGCCACACACCCGTGCTGCCCCCCAACCCATTACCTCGTAATCTTTCTGCAGCTCGAGAGCTTTGCTGATCCACTTGAGGCGTTTCTTGTCAGACAGCTGTGACCACTGTTTGCGGAGAGCATCCTTCAGCTCCTTCAGGCTGACCTGCTGGTAGACAAATCCCCAGTCATTAATATCAATAATAACATTACGCTAACATTTGATACAGCGCCTTATCATGTCGTTGAAATGTCTCAAAGCACTTCGTAGAGAATGCAGTAAAGTGAATTGACTGTATATTTTGAGGGTGAGACACGGCAGCCAATTGCGCACAGCAGCGTCCCACAAACAGTCGTGGATTGAAAAGACCAAATAAAAAAATATATATATACACATATAAATTGAAGGGATTATTACCCCAGAAAGCAATTTGAGAGACGGTACCCCCAAAACTGCACTGTAACGTCAGCTTAGACTATAATATTCTAATCCCCAATGTGGAGCTTGAACCCACAACCTTCTGACTCAGAGACGAGAGCACAGGCACGCTAACCACTACACTACAGGACTCCAGGTCATCCTCTCCACTCCCCGTTCACCACATGTGGAGTCAGGGAGACCTCGCTGGGACCTGAACGTAGCCTGAATCTACCCACATGGTGGCTGTACAGTGTGAGATGCTCCTGTGGCTCTAGCGCTGCCTCATGGGAGGAGGGTTCTGGTTTGGGGCTACAACAACAACTTGCATTTATACAGCGCCTCTCACACATGACAGTGGCGAAGCACGATGCCGAGCCAGGGAGAGGGGGGAGGTGACCGTAGCCACGGTCGAACAGGAAAGTTCTCAGGCGCGACCCGAAGATGGGGAAGGAATACGCAAGGCGGAGGGAATAAGTAAAGGAGAGTGTTCCAGAGTTTACAGGTGTAGTGACTGAAAACGCAGCATCCGATGGTTACCTCTGGGTGCAGTTTGAGGAAAGCTTTCTTCTCGTGGTTGTACCACAGTTGTTGGGGTGTTTTGGGTTTCTCTGGAATATCTGACTTTTTCTGCACCTCCAGGAGCTCTGGGTGCTTGATCCTGGGGGAAGAACAGCAACACGACTTCCGGCAAACATCAAACCCAGTTACGCCAGCCTAACCCTAACCCGAGTAGGTAACCCTGTCTGATATTTGCCCGTCTCTAAACCCCAGGGGAGCTCATAACCATATAATAATCCTTACATTTGAATATAGCGCCTCGTCGCATCGTTAAGACGCCTCAAAGCGCTTCAAAGAATATACTGTAAAGTGTAGTAACTGTTCATTTTGTGGACGAAACATGGCAGCCAATTGCGCACAGCAGTGTCCCACAAACAGCTGTGAAGTGAGTGGCCAAATTTTTTTAATTTTTTTTGGAGTGATTATTATTCCCGAAAAAGCAATCCGCCAATCGACTAACAACCGTGTTCCTACTTTCTGCCAGGTAAACAGAGGCGTGTGGAGTAAGGAAACTTGGCTAAGGTTTCACCCTGCGCAGGAATCAAAGCCAGGACCTCTCGCTTAGGAGGCGAGCGCTCTAACCACTGAGCTACAGGACTCCAACGTTGCCTTGACTACTGCCCCAGGCGAGAGCAGTAACTCAGCACAGAGCAGGGATCCAACTCAGCCAATTATTCCACAGATCCCATGTGTGTGGAGGTGTCCTGAGGCTCTTGTGACTGGTCTACACACAGCGGGTGGCAGATTCCAACAAATTGCCACAAACCACATACCTGAATTTCGCCATGGCGTGTTCAAACTGCTCCTTCTCCTGCTTGAAATCCTCAACATATTTGAGCTGTGGGAACAAAAACTCCATTACAGCCAGAAACGGAGATCATTCACCTCCTGCAATATTAATCAATGCAGCTCTCTACTCTAACCCCATTTCCTGCTCTCTCTCCCCCCATCGTGTCTGTGCTGGGGGTCGCTCCTCCACTGGAGCTCTCCCTCTCTCTCTCCCCATCGTGTCTGTGCTGGGGGTCGCTCCTCCACTGGAGCTCTCCCTCTCTCTCTCCCCATCGTGTCTGTGCTGGGGTTCGCTCCCCCACTGGAGTTCTCTACTCTAATCTGATCCGAGCTAGCACAAGCAGCAGGAAAGCTTGCCAGTGCTCGCAAGGGTAACCCCAACACACACACTGTGGTCCACAAGCTTTGGCTCTCACCAACCTGTGCCTAATACTCTCCTAGTTCAGGAGGGTAAGGTACGTATAGTTGTGGTATAACCATGACATTTGTGTGTGTACTTGTGCGTGTTTGTGTGTATACATATTCATGCGTAAGGGATCTGAGACGCTGCCCCGTGTGTATTATAATGGCGCTACATAAATGCAAGGTGTTTGTGTGTGTGTGTACTCATATGTGTGTGAGTGAACGTGTGTGTATACATGTATATGAATGCAAACGTGTGTATAAATTCAAGTGCATGTGTGTGTGTCTGTAAGCCGTACATATTCCGTATGGAAGTGTCATTTGACCTTGTCACAAATAATAATAATCATCCTTGCATTTGATACAGTGCCTTATCACATCTTTGAGACGTCTCAAAGCGCTTCACAGGGTACACTGTAAAGTGAATTGACTATTTTGTTGGCGAAACGCAGCAGCCAATTACGCACAGCAGCGTCCCACAAACAGTCGTGGCTTAAGTGACCAAATTTTTAAGAAAAAATGATTTTGAAGGGATTATTACCCCTGAAAAAGCGATCCACCAATCGACTAACAACCGGATTCCTATTTACTGTTGGTAGACAGAGGCGAGTGGAGTAAGGAAACTTGCCCAGTGTTTCGCTCTGCCAGGAATTGAACCCAGGTTCTCTCGCTTGCGAGGCGAATGCTCTAACCACTGAGCTACAGGACATGGTGGGAAACGGTTGGATCAAAGAGGAGGTAAAATGGCCCCTGTGGGTGTTTGGCAAGCCGGCCGGCCAGGCATGAGCGACTGTCCCCGTCCGAACAACGCTGTGAGAGGAGCTGCTGTGACCCACACCTTTTTCTTCTCGGGCAGTTCCCTGTATTTCTTGGAGAGGATCTTGGTCAGGTCCAGGTTACTCATTTCCGGATGGATCTTGGCGTACTTGGCTCGCTTCTCCATAAAGAACCGGAAGTAGGGAGTCAGCGCTTTCTTCGGGAAGTCGGGATGAGTCTGCGGGGGGACAGAGGAAATATTTTAGTAAATATTCCAACAAATTCAGCTATTTTACACAACTACAACTGACATTTACACCTTGCCTTTCACGCGGGAGGACGTCCTAAGGTGCTGGACAGTCATGGATTTTGGATCCGACCTGGGGGGTTGGGATCAGGAGGGATGGAGGGCAGGGAAGGTGGGTGACCGGTGGCATGGTCGAAGAGGTGGGTCTTGAGACGTGCTTTGAAGGAGACAAGGGAGGGAGCAAAGTGAAGGGGCTCCGGGATGCAGTTCCAAAGGGCGGGGGCAGAGAGGCTGAAGGCCAGGCCGCCGATGGTGGGGCGAGCCGGACGGGGGACATAGAGCAAGATTGCCTGTGTATTTTGTGGGTGAAACAGCCCAGACAATTGCACACAGCAGAGTCCCACAAACAGTTGTGGATTGAGTGACCCAAATTATTTTTTTTTAATTTAATTTTTTTTTTAAATGGATTATTATTCGCACAAAATGATCTGCCAGTCGACTAACAATCGGGTTCCTACTACTGCTAGGTGAACAGAGATGACTGGAGTAAGGAAATTTGCCTAAGGTTTCATCGCACCCAGGAATTGAACTCAGGTCCCAGGACTTTTTCCCCATCGCTTACCTTCAGTTTTTTCCCCTTGTAGGGGTTTTTCACATACTCCATTGCATCTGTGATCAGCTCTGTCAGAGTGCGGTATTTCCTGATCTAAAGACAGCAGAAATGTAATGTTAAATAATAATAATCCTTACATTTTGACAGTGTCTTTCACATCAGGAGAAACGTCTCAAAAACACTTCACAGAATACACTGTAAAGTGTAGTAACTGTATTTTGTAGGTGAACCCGGGACTTTGTGCAAAGCAATGTCCTCCTCCTCCCCACACCCCACCGGGCCTCTCCCCCCCACACCCCCACACCCCGGGCCTCTCTCCCCCCACACCCCACACCCCGGGCCTCTCTCCCCCACACACCCCACACCCCGGGCCTCTCTCCCCCCCACACCCCACACCCCGGGCCTCTCTCTCCCCCACACCCCCACACCCCGGGCCTCTCCCCCACACCCCCACACCCCCACCCCGGGCCTCTCCCCCACACCCCGGGCCTCTCCCCGGGCACACCCGGGCTCTCTCCCCCCACACCCCCACACCCCGGGCCTCTCTCTCCCCCCCACCCCCCTCCACCCCGGGCCTCTCCCCCACACCCCACACCCCCACACCCCGGGCCTCTCCCCCCACACCCGGGCCTCTCCCCCACACCCCACACCCCGGGCCTCCCCTCACGCTGATCCTCGGTCTCTCCTCTCTTGTGCTGCGGTACCTGGTGATCGCGGCTCTCGGGCCGCGCGGTCTCTGCAGCCGCCGCTCAGCCTCGCTCCGCCCCGCGCCCACCAGCCCCACTAACCCACTAACCAGGGCATCACCAGCCCCACTAACCCACTAACCAGGGCATCACCAGCCCCACTAACCCACTAACCAGGGCATCACCAGCCCCACTAACCCACTAACCAGGGCATCACCAGCCCCACTAACCCACTAACCAGGGCATCACCAGCCCCACTAACCCACTAACCAGGGCATCACCAGCCCCACTAACCCACTAACCAGGGCATCACCAGCCCCACTAACCCACTAACCAGGGCATCACCAGCCCCACTAACCCACTAACCAGGGCATCACCAGCCCCACTAACCCACTAACCAGGCATCACCAGCCCCACTAACCCACTAACCAGGGCATCACCAGCCCCACTAACCCACTAACCAGGGCATCACCAGCCCCACTAACCCACTAACCAGGGCATCACCAGCCCCACTAACCCACTAACCAGGGCATCACCAGCCCCACTAACCCACTAACCAGGGCATCACCAGCCCCACTAACCCACTAACCAGGGCATCACCAGCCCCACTAACCCACTAACCAGGGCATCACCAGCCCCACTAACCCACTAACCAGGGCATCACCAGCCCCACGAACCAGGGCATCACCAGCCCCACTAACCCACTAACCAGGGTATCACCAGCTCCAACCCACTAACCAGGGCATCACCAGCCCCACTAACCAGGGCATCACCAGCTCCAACCCACTAACCAGGGCATCACCAGCCCCACTAACCAGGGCATCACCAGCAAAATACCACTCACTAGGCAATAACTAGCACTAAACCAATAACCAGTGTAACTGACTGGAGAATATCAAGTAGTAACTAGAAAAGAAGTAGCACTGAGCAACTGAACCAAATCAAACTGAATAGTAATAATCACTAATCGAATAACTAACAGCCCAGAAACCAGTGAAATAACCAGTGACGTCTGCGCTCACCACAAACCACACCCTAACCCGGGAACCAACCCGGTAACTAACCCGGGAACCAACCCGGTAAGTAACCCGGGAACCAACCCGGTAACTAACCCGGGAACCAACCCGGTAACTAACCCGGGAACCAACCCGGTAAGTAACCCGGGAACCAACCCGGTAACTAACCCGGGAACCAACCCGGTAACTAACCCGGGAACCAACCCGGTAACTAACCCGGTAACCAACCCGGTAACTAACCCGGTAACTAACCCGGGAACCAACCCAGTAACCACTGCGGATCCTGAACGGCTCCGACACCCACAGGAACCCATCGCCTGACGAGGCTTCTCCAACCCGGGAAGCCATCGCTCCCATTCACACCGGGAAATCCCAGAGGGCGGAGTGCGCTCTCTCTCTCTCTCTCTGGAGGGACACTTCCTGTTTACCTAATTCCGGAGAGTATTAGGCGCAGGTTGGCGAGAGCCAAGGTTTGGGGGGCCCCAGAGTGTGTGTTGGGGTAACTGCTGGAGTGTAACCCCTAAACCCACACCGCTCGGCCATTGATATCACTGTCCGGCAGCTTTCCCGCTGCTTGTCCAGCGAGGACCCCCCTCCCCGTTAGTTAGGGCTTTGGCTGTGGGGTTACCAGGGGCTGAGGGGAGGATTCCCGGCCCCAGTGACTGGTCAGTGAGTGCCCGGGACACTGCGGCCCCTCCTGGTCAGGACCCGGACTGGAGACCGGCACAGAGGGGGGGCCGGTACTGACATTCCATGGCCAGGAGGGTCACCCTGGGGCCAGTTCAGTCCCGAGGAAACCCCACTTCCCCCTCCCCCTACGGAGGTTAGTCGCCAGTTGATTGTTCGACAGCCAACAAGCGTGGGTTTGAGCCTCACTACCTGGTACGGCGCTGGGCAATGCCTCTGCCCGGGGTATTGAGCTCAGATCCTGGCCGGTGCCGGTCTCCCCTGATCCCAGGCCGGACACCGTGACTGCTTTACCAGGTGTACAACGTTGCTTTACCATTACTACTAAAATAATAATATATTTATTTTAAAATAAAATAAAGCGCGTCTTGAAAGGGAGTTGGATAGGGCCTTGAAAGGAAAATATTTGCAGGGCTATGGGGAAAGTGTGGGGGTGGGGGGGAGTGGGACAACAACAACTTGCGTTTACATAGGGCCCTCACACAGGGTGGTGTCCCAGAACGCTTGACAGCGGCAGAGCACAAAGCCGAGCCGGGGGGAGATGACTATGGACACTGTTGAAGAGGAAGGTCTTCAGGCACCATCTGAACATGGGAAACAACAACAACAACAACAAGATTCCATTTATTGAGAGCCTTTCACGTCGGGAGGACGTCCCAAGGCGCTGTACAGTTGGGTCAGAACCCGAGCATTGGGGGGAGATGGTCAGGGTGAAGGGAGGGAGCGAGGAGGGGGGAATGGTCAGGGTGAGGGGAGGGAAGGGAGGGAGCGAGGAGGGGGAATGGTCAGGGTGAGGGAGGGAAGGGAGGGAGCGAGGGGGGGTAGAGAGTCGAGAGGGGAGCTGAAGGCACAGTCAAAGAGAAAGGTCTTGAGACCGGTCTTGAAGGAGGAAAGGGAGGAGGCGGCGAAGGCACTGGGGATAGAGTTCCAGAGCCTCGGGGCTGAGAGGCTGAAGGCCACCGATGGTAGGGCGGTTGGGTGGGGGATGTGGAGCAGACCGGAGCCAGAGGAACGGAGGGTACGGGCGGGTAGGTAGGGGGATAGTAGGTCAGAGAGGTAGGAGGGAGCGAGGCCGTGAATGGCCTTGTAGGTGAGGGTGAGGATCTTGAATTCGATCCTCTGGGGGATGGGGAGCCAGTGGAGGCGAGCGAGGGCGAGGGTGAGAGCCAGGGCGAGGGTGGGAGTGAGGGTGAGGGCGAGGGTGGAGTGAGGGTGAGGGCGAGGGCGAGGGCGAGGGTGGGAGTGATGTGGTCGTGGTGTGGTGCGGGACAGTACACGAGCTGCAGAGTTCTGAATGACCTGCAGTGTGGAGGGAGGGCCGGGAAGGCCGACGAGGAGAGAGTTCCCATAGTCCAGCCTTGAGGTGATAAAGGTGTGGACCAGAGTTTCAGCCGTGTGAGGGGTGAGGTAGTGCCGTAGTCTGGCGATGTTCCGGAGGTGATGGAAGGCGGTGCCAGTTGTGGTGCGGATATGAGGGAGAAAGGACAGCTCAGGGTGAACCCCGAGGTTCCTGATGGCTTTGAGAGGTGGAGAGTGCGGAGCTGATGGTGTCAGCGCCTGAGGTGCGGAGGCGCTGACGTGAGCCAATCAGGAGGGCCTCAGTTTTGCGCACGTTGAGCTGAAGAAAGTTGTCTCTCGTCCAGGACTCGATGTCGGACAGACAGCTGTCAGGACATCGGGGTCGTGGAGTTGAGGGTAGAGGAGGAAAGGTAGAGTTGGGTGTCATCCGCATACATGTGGAGTAACCCCATGTCTGCGGATGATGTCACCACAGGGGGAGCATATAGAGGGTGAAGAGGAGGGGACCGAGGACAGAGCCCTGAGGGACCCACATGAGACAGTGCGGGGGTGGAGGAGAAGCCATTTGGAGACAAAGTGAAGACGGTGGGAGAGGTACGACCTAAACCACTCAAGGACAGTGCCTTGAAGGTTGAGGTGGGAGGACAAGCGGTGGAGAGAGGATAGGTGGTCGACCGTATCGAATGCTGCCGATAGGTCGAGGAGGACGAGGAGCAGAGGGAGCCCTGGTCACAGATGGTCAGGATATCATTGGTGACCTTGACCAGGGCAGTTTCTGTGCTATGGGCAGCACGGAAACCCGACTGAAGGGGTTCGAATAGTGATGGTGGAGAGGAAAGAGCCGAGCAG